GGAAGCCAGTGCAAGGACTCCAGGATAGGAGTAATGTGAACACTTGCACTAGACCTGGTCAGGATTCTGGCTGCTGAATTTTGGACATACTGCAGCTTGTTCAGAGTAGATTTAGATTTAGATTTAGATACTCCCAGGGAGTAGAGCATTGCAGTAATTAAGGCAATGAGAACGGCTTTGGATGTAAGGCTGTAAGACCCTGCCGGCGCCCCCCGGGCCTACCTGGTGAGCAGGCACATGAGCTGCCGCACCTCCTCCCTCATGGTGGCCGTGCCCCGCCGCAGGTTGTACTCAAAGAGCTCGCGGATCAGGCCCTGCAGCACCAGGATCTGGCGGATGGCACTGTTGGTGGCCAGGGCGCGCAGCAGGGTGATGCAGTGGCCGGTCACGGCCGAGGCGCAGCCGTAGCACTTGGTGGAGGAGGTGTGGCCGCAGCCCAGCACGGAGAGCGCGCGGTACTGGCTGGCGGTGAAGGTGGGCAGGGCGGCGGTGCGCGAGGACTTGGTGGCCGCCTCCCGCTGCTGCAGGTCGTACTCCAGCAGCTCCTTCCGGGACGCCAGCACTTTCTGAGGAGGGCAAAGACCCGCGCGGTCAGCCCAACCTGAGGGCGAGGCAGCTCTTCGGAGAGGATTCTGAAATTCCCGCTTTTTGAGCGCCATTCTAATTCCCCGAACATCCTTCTCAAGTAAGTTCAGACATGTTTTTGCTACTCAGCCCACAAATGAAACAATTTTAAAGAGATCTGAGGTGTAGAATTTTAAAATAAACACAAAGCTAAAGCCCCTTTCTACAGATAATTAAGATATCCAGCTCAGGAAAATCTCCCAAAAGATTCCTTTGCCTGCAGGGAGATGGATGCTTGCCCGTTTCGCTCTGCTCTGACCTGTATGATTTTGGAGAGCTCATCAAAGGAGGTCTTGCAGTCCCCACAGTACTCCTGGGCCAGCTGCTGGATGTACCTGTTCACACTGGCAGAGGACGTCCCCACCCCTGCCCCCGCGCCCGTGTCGTCCTGAGAACACACAAAACACACGCCAGGCATGAGAAAGTGCAGGAACAGCCTCTGGACACGGACCTCGAGCGCCGATCGCTGTCAGTTAGGTAACGTTCAAAGTTTTCAAACATCGCACCATTCCGGATTGAGCCTGTTTTTTAAAAAAATGTTTCCTGCAGACAGATTCGTGAAAATGAAAACCCAAGTCAACTCCCTGCAATCATCCCCCATCAGGCTTGATCTGTCATTTCTTCACATTCAGGGCAGATTAGAGGTTTAAGATCATGTCAGCATTCAGATTTGCCACTGGTTATACTTCGGGCTATCATATACATGAAATCCTACATGGAAACGTTGGGCTATTTTGGTTACATTTTCTCCCAAGTGCAGTTAACAAATAGGGATTTAATAATTAAAACGCTACATGATGGGGACAATATACTGTAAAAAAGGAGCCACCCTTCAAATGAGAGGTAAAACCAAAGCCCTGACTCTTTGAGGTCATTAAAATCCCAGGGTATTTCTCAAAAAGAGTAGGGGTGTTAACCCCAATGTCCTGGCTAAAGTTCCCCTGGCCTTTACCAATCATGGCCTCCTACTAATCCCCATCTCTGAACTGGCTTCACTCTACTCTCCTCCCCACTGAGAGCTGGTGTGTGGGGAGCGGACTGGTGCACTTTGGCTGCCGTCACATCATCCAGGTGGGGGCTGCACGCTGGTGGTGGTGGAGGGCAGTCTGCCTTACCTGTGGCTTCTCAGGCGCTGCTTCATTCACCTTGCAGAGCAGGGTCTCCAGCTGGGGCCGGTGCCCCATGAGCTGATGGTACACACGGTCCGCCTTGTCCAGGAGCGTGTTGATGTTGGTCACGGCCTGGGAGACAAAAATCAACCTCACTGCGAGATGTGCAATCCTATCTCAACGCCAAAACACACTGCGGCTGTCCAATGGTCCTGCAGGGCTTCTGCTTCTATGGTATAAACTACAACCTACATCAGGGCCTACCTGACAGGAAATAGTGCAGATGTCTATATTTTAGGCATGGGCATATGTAGAACCGTTTTACCTTTATACCCAACTGGCTCATTTTATAATGACCAGGCTCCTTTTCAAAATGGTCTACTATCAGATATTATTAGACAGTGATGTTTATTAATAACCCTAGTACCGCTGAATCTTAAAGTCCCCATGGAAGCAGAGAACATAAAAGAATGCCTCTTCTCTTTGGGATCACTAAGCGTTAGTGAAAATGCAACACTGTGTATGTGCAACAGTCTCTAGCAATCAGATTTCCAATGCGCCAGATAAATCACAGTAACACTGGTTGAGATTGAGTCAATCTATAACCAGGGAGCCCTTCCTCACCTTCTTCCTGTCCTCCTCGTTCTCAATGGGGTCCACAGCACAGCAGGGCTTGGCATACAGCATGAAGTCAAAGCGGGCGTATTTGCAAAAGCCACAGGCATTGCACAGGAAGGGATCCTTCTCGTCATAGTTAATAGACCTGACGAGACATGCAGCAGCTATTCATTAAATCAAAACACCCAAAGACAAGGGGAAAAAAAAAATCATACCAAAACAGCCAAATCTTATTCTCCAACATTGTCCTCTGGAATTTGAATTTATCTGCTTGTTCCTCAGATCTGCTCAACCCTTTTGCACTTACCTAGAAACGGGCATTGTTGAACCATGCAACATTTCTCACCCTGGAACCCAGTTCCATATTAATATAATTAATATGCCCACCAATATAATTCCATATTGCCCAGTGAAGAGTTAGTACTGAATGGAGGACAGACAAAACTCTCCCTAATAAGTTCAGGGGCCTGGCCAGTGTTTTTTAAACCTAGGATAACCTGGCTGACTCCAGTATATCTAAATCCTGCGGTGCTCACCCATTGCTGTGGTCATGCTTGGAGTCACATCGGTCACAGTACTAGCTATGCCTGGCTGTTGCTACAGAGACTCCATGCCTCTATGCCGGACTGAACCTGCACTCAATCACTGGTGGCCCGTTAAGTTATTCTGAATTTTTTTAATATCTAACCTCTTCACTGATCTAACCCTTTGTGCCCATGGCAAGATTTTTTAATCAGTCCCCAGGAATTTAAAGGGCCAGCCTTCCCACACCTTGGGTCGCCAACGCCCCTGTGGATAATACTTCAGGAATGTTCATGTTCGGCTCCCTCACACACCTGCACTTGTGGCACTGGTACACGTTCTCGCCGCAGTTGCCACACACCCCGGGGTTGGCGGGGACGGACGCACTGCACCGTGGGCACTGCAGGGTCTCGGTGGAGGCCTGGTAGTTCTCGTAGAAGTCGGCAAACTCGATCATCAGATTGGAGGCCACGATGGGCAGGGGGAGGTCAATCTTCACCTCCGTCTGGCCAGGGGTCAGCTGTACTTTCTTCGCTTTGTGCCAGCGAGCAGGTCTGGAGCAAAACCAGGAGTGTTGCAATTAACCAATTACTTCACCATGCACCCCTGAGATCTGATAAGACAGGTAACTCACTTATTCACTCATGTAACAGCTTTCTCTCAAATACCGATCATACAGTCACACATAAAAAATACTTCACAGGAAAGTAAAATTGTGAACTGTAAGAACTTTATCGTCTTTAAGACAAAATTAATTGTAATTTTCTGGTTTTGTGAATATTTTCTAAACTTTTAAGTCCCATAAAGAGGAAGATAACTAATCGTTAGGGAACTAGCTGCAACCCACATGGAGTTATATGCCACTTACTTGTTTTTCAGCTCTACGATGGCCTGCACAGTCCGGTTGTTGTAGTACAGGTTAATGGTGCGAACCATTTTGGTGCGTTTCAGGTCGCCAATCTTGACGGTGACTTTGCTGATGGTGTGGCTGCCGATGAGCTTCACCACCTGTTGGGTGGTGGTGTACCGGGTGTCGACTTTGATAGAGGACAGCTTGATGTTCTGCAGATCACAGCAAAAAAACAAATTTAGAACACCAAATTATGTGTAGCTCTGTGTGCCTCTAATATCCCTCCCTTTATTATTTCAATGTCACCACATCAGACTTTGACCACACTAGTAGACTTCAAGTACAAGCATTTCACAACTTATAGATACTCTGGACTTCTGAACTTTTACCACTACTGCCCTCTATAGCCTTTCCCTTTCAAAATCCCATAAAACATCAGGCAATGAAACTACTGGTGTCTTCAATCGCAGCTTATTTAAATAAATGATCCTGCTTTGTTCAGTTTTTGACCTAATTGGTGCTTTTCTCAAATGACTTTACTCTGGTAAAGTCTAGTAAAAGCTAGTTTTTATCACTATTACTCACAGAAAATGGCACTTCGGGATTGTTGCAGACCAGGCAGGGATCACTTTCCAGGTAGTATCCATCAAACTCCACCAGTCCTGACAGAGTGCTAAGAAACATGAAGAGCAGAGAGCAATTATTTTCTCTGTACTCGGTACCATTTTGTGTGAATGCATTTCACTCTCAATTAAAACTTATAACCACAGCGTCTATAAATTTATAATTGTTGATAAATTATGAAGAAATAAAGTGAAAGTTGCTATGAGTGAAAAAATGACAAACAAAAAAGGGCTCAAAAGTGAAAAGAAAATGGCAAAAAAACTAGTTGACAGTTGTGAAAACAGAAATGTCAGTGGACAAGCCCAGTGACAGAAAAACTCACTTGTAGATGTTGGAGTTAGGATGGTTTGTGAGAATGTGGTTCTGTGTTCTCAGAATCTCAACAGCCTTCTGGGAATACTCCTTCAGCTGTTAAAATAATGACACCATGAAACTGGAACTAAACCACTGTCCTTGTTGCATGCATTTTAACATGCTGCAGCACATACTGTGAGGTAGAATCTCCCAGAAAATAAAATTAGGTTGACAGAAAGGGCATCTTAATCATCTTTCTTTGACACAACAAAAAGATCATTCCCCTACACAACTCCTCCTTTATTTCGGAGCTTTGAGACCTAATGATTTCCATCATGAAGAAAACTTAATATCTGCTCAACACAGGGTTTTTTGGAAAACAGTTACTGCTCTTCCCACTGGGAAACCTTTAAAGGGATGTCCTTTTTTAATCACTTCCCTTGGAAATAACACTGTTATTAACCTAAGTCGGAACATGAGTTTAAGAAGGCGCCACTGGCGGTTACCTTCTTCTCAGTCTGCGGAGTTTTGAGAGAGAAGTAGCCCAGGAGGTCCACGAACTGGGCTGCCTTGCGGCCGTACGCCGGGAGCTCAGGCCAGATAGCCCAGGTGAGATCCAGAAGCAGCTCCTGTTGGGATTTACCGGAGTTCCTGGAAGGGAAGAATCAGCACGGAGTATCATACTCTGAAACGTCTGCGTGCATATCGTAACGCAAATTCAATTCAGATGATCTAAATCTATAAGGAATCCTTCCGGATTAATAAGAATATCACTCAACATGGGCATGCCATTCTAACTTAAGCTTGTGTCTAAATAAAAATCACCAGTAATCATCATTTCAATGACATAGGACAATGAAGGACTTAAGCGTTTTGGTTTAAAAGGAACCAAAAGTAACAATTAAGTGGTTGTTTTATGACTGCTCCGGGGGTCAGCAATGCCCATGTTACTATTCCTGGGTATATAAATGTTAACTGGTATGAACCGCTCACTTGTGTACTTGAATTCAGAACAACACACAAAGTAACTGAAATACACAGCAGCATTAAGAGGGCACAGCAGATCATGGTCACGGACAGCACTGGTGTAGCACCCATGAACTACATGCCAGTCCATACCTGTAGATGTGCAGGGCCAGGCAGTGAGCCTGCCAGCGCACAGAGGAGGAGTTGGATTCCAGCAGGAAGCAGCGCAGGAACTGGATGAGAGTCTCCTTGTCGGCAAACTTGTTAAGCTGGCTGACCAGCGCAGTGCACAGCTGATCCTCCTGGCTGCCCACACCCTCACCTGCGGAGCACATGGATAAGACACGTCGCTCGCTACAGCACAGAGAAACGCCGCAGAATGCGTCTGTAGGGATCCTCTTCTGCAAGGCACTGCCAATGTCTGTACAGCTGGAAAAAGGTGCAGGCCTGCGAGATTTTCTAGTCTGTTTCACCAAGTATACAACATATAAAGCTGAAGCTACCATACGCCCTTGATGAAATTCTTCTAGGTATGCCTGCAACTGAATATCATGCTTCAAAAGCCTACTGGGCTGTCAAAAAGACAAGTGTAGAAATGAAAGCCGTGTGACTGGAGTAGCCTGAGCTCCTAATACAGGGGAAATCTGGGAATGGGACCAGACTTTGCTGATGCTCACCATCCTTCTCCTTCTCCTTGTCCTCCTTCTTGCTCTTCTTGCTGGAGGACTTGCTTTGGGAACCCGACTGGGAGGCTCCTGGGGCCGTGGTGCCGGATTGCCCCGAGGACGAGGAGGCTGAGAGGACCTTACTGCCACACAGGGCGCAGGACAGCAGCTGCAGGAGCACGGGGGACACGCCCTCGTCCACCAGGAAGCTCACCTGCAGCAGGAAGTACAGCACCGCTGAGGAGAGAGAGAGGAAGAGAGACAGGAACAGAGTGTGAAGTTTACAGAGTAGGACGGCCCAAATTCCACTGCAGGGACAGCAGACCCCAACTTCTATGCCCATCTCCTACATTCCCCCCCATAGAAAACCCCCTATGGGAATATTCATGAGGTGTCCCAAAGGTACACTTCCACTCTAAGTCTCATAGTTTAGAATTAAGGACATCAGATAGGCTGCTTATAATTGGAGACTTCAATTTTATTCCGGAGATTCCTTCCAGCCAGTAAAGGTTAAAACCCCTATTCTCCCCTTTAAAAGGCCCAAACCCAACTACAGGTTCAAGGTCAAGCTCTGTTCTGGGTCTCCTGTGTTCCAAATAAGGAATAATAGAGCAATACTACTGCGTCAGAAACAACAGTCAGCAGAATGTTTTGATATTATGAGTGAAGTTCAAGAAATGAGCCCATTAGCTCTAGAATACTTACAATCGTCCTTCATGCAAAACTTCTGCCAGTTTATAGTTCGCTGGGTGGCAATCTCAGCACAAGCTTTCAGATGCTCCATCTTAAAGAAGAAAAAAATAGTTCAAATAGATAAATGCAAGGCTTTCACATACAGTCTGCTGAGTCCATGTACGGGAGGACATACTGGAATTTTTTTTTAACAACTTTACTTTCTACACCCCTTTCTTAACAAAGCGAAATAAACAGAAATCTTCAACAGAGCAGTCTCAACTCTGGGTCCCACTGCAGTGGGTCAGGTGGCCAGTTTGTGTCTTTTGTTCACGTTGTTTTCAACGACTGAGTTGTTGCATGCCTGCTGCAGGGCTGGCCAGCAGGCCCAGCGCCGGTCCAGAGCCTGCGCAGGCAGTACTCACCAGGCTGATCAGGGTGTCGTACTGCAGGGCCGAGCCGGACGTGGCGGTCACCACGCCGGCACGCAGGAAGATGCCCTGCTCCTCCAGCAGCTTCTTGATGCCTCGCACGTGGGAGTCCAGCGTGTGCAGATCGCGCAGCTGCCGGTACTTCTCCTTGGAGCCGCAGATGAAGAGCAGCAGCTTGCGCACTTGACGGCGCACAAAGGGGGTCTGCTGGATCATCAGGTACTGGGGAATAAACCAACAGGACCGTCAGAGTCTCCAGGACACAGTATCCAGCATTGGGCTTCCACAGCAGCAAAATGGACACATCACCTTCACAAAAGGGATCTACATTTCCCACAGTGTCATAGGATTCAGAGACAACTGGGAAGCCTTTTAATATTTGCATCCAATTTAATTTAGTTCCCTTGCAGATATGCTCAAATTGGGAAAAGACATTACTCAAAATCTGATGTTTCATTAAACATTTAGATCTGTCCTAGATGCTGACATGACTGGATGTGTATCTTTGGGCATTTTTATGACACAGCCATGTGGGATCCTACCTCCTGGGTGCCCAGACAACACATACAGCTAATATCCGTTTTGCTTTTATAATCTAGTGTTTAATGTTCCACTTGTACAACAGAGATGCTTCTTTTCTTTTTGGCTCCCAAGACTCTGTTCCTGTGGTATCTGGCAGAAGGCAGAGTGGTTTGCCATCTTTTTCAGCATGTAATTTGCCATCAAGCCCAGCTTTTACTTTCAAAAGCCTTAGTGTCTTGCAGAGGTAAAAAAAACATTCAGAACCAGCCAGAAACATATAATTAAAAAAAGAGTGTTTGGCCATTCAATTCAAGCTTTGTTTCCAGCAGGAAGCGAAAGGTCAGACGGTTCATTTGAGATGTAGCTCTCTCTCGGAGCCCAGCTGGCTCAGGGGTTACCTCAGACAGGAAGTAGAACCAGGAGTGGTCAAAGATGGGCGGAGGAATGCGAGGATTGGTGTCCGCAATCTTCTTTATCTGATAGGGCAGCCGCAGAACCATCTCAGTGAGGAGCTGGGAGTATGCCTCAAAGACATCCGCAGCATGGCCCTGATTAGGACAGGAAAGGAAACTGAAACTTTGTGTTTGAACTCTGGCAGGTGATCTTTCCTAAGGCCTGTCCAGATTTTCCTACACAGGTTACTTTAAGCACTTACAAAACTCTACTCTTACTATTGCATTGTTTTGACCTAATCCTTTATGGTGCACACGGTATAGTAAATATATTCAAGTAGGTAACTCCTATTACAGAAAGGCATCCGAAAGCCAAATCCTGCAACTAAGATCACACCCCCCACTTCCCTTAACTTTAGTCTTGTCTCCTTCTAATCCTATTCGACTTCACACCTCTCATCCAGTTCTCCCCGAGTGTTGATACTCCTTCTCCTCAGATCCCCACCGCCTCTCAACTGCCTTGTTTTCTGTTCTCCCTTCAACATTAACTGCCAGTTTCCCTCTCTCATATAATATGATAACATTATCTGTATGTACCAGCCATCTCATAATCCAGTGGTTTCATTCTGGTTTAAAAGACACATCATATAGACTATTGGCTCCCACCTTGACATACTGCCTGAGGAAAAAGGGGCTCATGTCAGGGGGCGAGGAGGAGGTGTGGGGTTTGAGCAGCTGGCTGGCCGCGGCCGGCTCTTCCTCTCCCTGCTGGGTCTTCCAGAACTCCAGCAGAGACTTCAGGACGTGGAGGCAGTAGTCGATGGCGCCCAGGCTGAGCAGGGCTGTGGCGGTGGCGTTGGAGATCAGCGAGGAAGACTGCAGGAGAGGGGTGGACAGCTCAACGAGAGAACAGAGGATCCTTGATCCATCTGCCGCGTCCTCTCTGGACTTTTGTTTGAATCGTTAATGTGGCTTCCACATTACAGCCCCTCCCATACTCCTGTTGTAATTCAATAGGCTACAAGGCAAGGTACACCCTGCATGGGATGCCGGTCCATCACTGGGCAGACACACCCACACTCACACCAGGGCCAATTTTCTCAGAAGCCAATTATCCTACCAGCTCTCTTTGGACTGTGGGAGGCAGGTGCAGAACCCAGAGAGAACCCATGCAAACACAGGAAGAACATGCAGACTCCAGGCCAATAGCTCCCCAGGGCCAGAATCAAACCCAGGGCTCCAGCACTGTGTAAGCAATGGAAACCACTGCCGCCTGGTCATCTCAGTTCTTTCACGTTTGCATATAATATCCTTGTACAACATACTGTATCTTGTATAATCGTGTCTGTAAGGGGGTTTACCCTTGGTACTTTCATTTTTGTGGAAAGCTTGCGGAATTGAAAAAATTTGGAATATAAGGCTTTCTAGGAGGTTTCACTCGTAAAACAAGATTTACTGTTATTAGAAAAGTAACAGGCTTTTAAATACAAAATGCTGGTACTGTTGATCTATAAATCAACAGGAAAAACGGGACCCTCTGTAAAACAAGACTGAAGTCACAAACTTCAACAGATGTGAAAATACTTTTCAGAGTCTTCCTTTGTAAGATGCAATATATTCTCACAGGGTACTTGTCTTTAGAATGAGGTAACATGTGAATGCTTTTTCTGAAATTCAGTGATACAATGGGAGGAGAGCATTTATCCTGTCTAAGTGACCAAATACAATCCATAGTCAGAAAGTGCTGCAGTGTACATGGAGTTAGCAGGGTCTACATACCTCAGAAGATGACTTGGACCCTGACTTGGTACGGGACATGAACACACTCAGAAGCCTCATAATGACCAGGTGCACTTCATTCATGGGGGTGCGATCATTCTTCTTGGAAACGTCCTGAAATGTACATCACCATTTTACAATTATTTCTGAATGCATTACTTGTTAATGTTTAAACTTTCAAAGAAAAGGCAAAAAAATCCTTGTGCTCTTAATGCTCTTATACTCAACTGAGCAAGTGCTGACACATGCACTTTGTGGAATACACTTCCCACAGTGCAGTAGGATTCAGAGACAAGTGGGCAGCCCTTTAATATTAAACAATCCATCATTTTATTTAAAAAATTCAATGTCAAGCAAAGAAATAAATATTTAAGCGGATCCTGTTACATTTTGGATCACACTTTGCGAGCCATTAAACTTAAAAACAAAAAAGAAACACTCACCATAGCATCCAACAACCTTATTTAGATCCCATTCTCCAACTGGGAAAAGGTGATGCTCAAAATCTGCTGTTTCATTAAACATAAGCAGCTCTGACCTAGAAGCGGAATCATAACTGGAGGTGTATTTGTGGGCATTCTAAAACACAGCCATGTGGGATCGATCCTACCTTCTTGTGCATTCCCAGCTCAGCAATGAGCTGAGACAGGAGGTCATCCAGAGCGCCCTTATCCTTCTCATCATCCCCGTCCAGGTCTGCGGTCAGCATCAGGATCACCTGCGGAGACGCATCCACAGACTGAAGGAGTGCACCCACAGCCCTGACCAAGACGAGCCCAGCCTCATTGCAAACAGACACGTAATGTAACACTGCTTTCAGTAAGACAATATTTTACACTATACTTGTAGGATGCACACATTTATAGACCATTACAAATGACAAACTCGTTGAACTTTAGGTGGAAAATTATTACGGTAAACGAACAGAAAAAAATCTTACCCCTTTTCATGTTATTGTGCAAGAACTCGAACTGGCTAACTGAATCAGACATCACCTTTAAAATAACTCATCCATTCCTCGTTGAGAGCTTTAAACTGGTTTTGTAAAGGGACGACGCCAGTTGATATTTTCCAAACCAGGAGACGCCAAAAAGAGTTTTGGCCAGCACGATCTTCGGTTCAACATACACAAAGTGCTTTTAGTTAAATTACACCTGATTTAAATATTTGTCTTGCACTAGGCACGAGTTTCACTGTGGTATGCCCTTTAATCTGAATAAAGCTCAGTATCCCACAATTAAAATGGGAGAACAATTCCCGTACAAAGGCCTTCTCCCCGGGTCCTTGCCGCTCCGGCTCACCTGCATGTATGGGATCGCGCGGACTCCCCCGACGCTGTGCAGCTGGGGGAGGTGCTGCAGGAGCCGCTCCAACAGCATCAGACGCACCATGTGGAGCCTGCGCACGGCGAGAGAAGCAGACAAGCGCCTCAGCTGCTGCTCTCAACGTCAATAAACAGTGAAAGTTGAACGTGAAGCAATAGGCTAAAGACCACTTTAGTGGCCATACACAATTTCTTGTATTAGGAATTTGGCTTTTCCGCATACCCCATCATGCTCTCCGACGGTCAGCCATTTATTCGGTGCCCCTGGGTGAAGGGCCTTGCTCAGGGGCCCAATGGACTAGGATTCCTCTGCTGGCAGCGGGATACGAACCGGCAACCTTCCAGCCACAGATCCTGAGCCACCACTCCACCCCCCTTTTTAAGATCACTTTATTGGCCATATACAATTGCTTGTAATAGGAATTGGTCTAGGTAGTTATTAAAAAAAGAGGATTTAGGTCACTGGGACCAGAAGAGCTGTCCTACTTTGCCCTGTTTATCCAGTAAGAACGGCCACTCTGGAATGACCATTCCAGTCCCACCTGTGCCCCTTAGTTTAAATCACTGGATTTCTTCCAGTAGAAGAGGGGAAAAAAAGAATCAGATGAGCCGGGCTCTGGAAACTGCTGGCTGGGGAGATCTCAAAGAAAGCAGCCTACGATGCCAGCGCCCAGCCCTTTGGCTCACCTGTTGCTGGTGTGGATGTCGCCCTCCGTCTCGCCCTCGCCCTCGGAGCCCTCGCCCTCCTGCTGGGCCGTGGCGGTGCTGATGGCGCCGGTGCTGGAGCTCACGCTGCCGGGCCCGGCGGGGTGCCCCTCGGCCGCCGTGTCGCCGTAGGCGCTGCTGCGGCCCGAGACTGAACGACAGCAGGCGAGGCCGCGAGTCAGGACGGGCGGAACAGAACGCAACGACACCCATTTTCAGCCAGAATCTTAAGCGTGGCGAAACCAAGAGTGGCCGTTTCCCGCTAGTGCTGATCGAGGGGCTCTTTCAATCGGCCGCGTCTTACCGCTGTGCTCGCCCGCCACGGAGTCCACGGCGCTGCCCCCGCTCTCCGAGCCCACGCTGCCCCCGTGCTCGGCCGGCGAGGTGCGCAGGGTAGAGCCGTCTGTGGCGGCCGTGCTGCCCTCGTCGTCAGAGGCTGGAGCTGAAAGCATAACCAGAGCTGTTCCAGGAAAAACACGGGGACCTTCTGTAAGAACAGGGCAGGGGGGAGCCCAGTGGGCGCCGACGCCCGCATGCTCCCCTTTCAGAAATATCTGGATATTTTTCTTGATTTTTCTTTCCCCATTAGTAAATGAGGGGGCAAAATGACATCCTCACTTGATACTTACAATATGCTTGACTGCTAATGCCAGAACACGGCTGGTACTTCGGTAACTGGTGCACTCATATGGAAGACTTATTAAAAAAAGGTAAGTGTCGTTTATTTTAATTGTTTTTAAATTCACCCCATTTGAGGGCATAGAAGCAGGAAAGGGTTTAAAGGGTTACATCATAATAATCTGAAAAAGAACAGATTCTGAGATTCATGAGAAAGAAGCAATTATAAACCTTCTAAGCTTGGCAGCACGCCACGATGGGGACAAAGACTGGAATACAGTAAAAATATTAAATAAGATGCTTCGCTGGCAATTGCAGAATTGCATTTCTCTTCCCGTTCTACCCACCCGGTTTTGAAACCGGGCCACCAGGACGTGCGCGCGCTTGTACGTGGAGGAGAGGCCGAGCTGATTACCTGACGCCGTGGTGTCCGAGAGGGTCCCGGCGTCCAGCGAGGAGGAGCTGGGGGCCTGGCCGGACAGGCCCAGGCTCTGCAGGCCCAGCGCGCTGCTACTGCTGCCTGCGGCACGACAGAGGACAATCCCAGAGTCACAATCCCGAGCACCCACTTACACCCCTCCGCCACCAGTCTTTGACCCGCCCAATAGCTACAGGAAATATTTATACCTCGTGCAGCTCTAGCGTTTTCACTGAGCTTAACGTGACAACTCAGAGGCTGTTAGAAATGCTTAAAAATAAGGGTACGTTCTTATGCTGCAAACTAGAATCTGACCAAATTTAAGGTCTTCAGAATAAACCCTTTAACTGTATTCGAGAGAGGGCCAGTGACCTTGCTGATCTTGCTGCAAGCTGAGTGCAATGGCCAGTTCCACCATCGTCTCGTCGTCGGCGTCGGGAGGGATGTCCAGCATCGGGGGGAAGCCCTCTGCTCCGGCCAGCAGCGCCTCCAGCGGCGAGGGGTTGCCATTGTTCACGTTCTCCGCGGACTCTAAAACCATGGACTCCGACTGCGACAGGAACAGGAACAGGAGGAGGGAATTATATAACAACTGTCTGCCTGCGTGTTTGCCCAGCTGGCAAGCCCAGAGAAACACAAATCAGTTGGCATTCAGTTACCAGCACATGCAATTTGTTTTCTTACAATGGACGAATCAAAGCATGAGGTCATTCTCATGTTCGGGGCCTGCAGTTTGGATTCTAACCTTGAGACAAGCACGTAACCTACATCTAACGAGCTCTGGGATGGCTCTTGCTGGAATTCTGCACACAAGAAGCACGGAGCACGAATTGGAGCTACCGTCTCGGCCGAACTCACCACCATCTCGAAATCCCCGTGATCCACTTCACTCTGCTCTTGGCTCTCCTGTCTCCCGCCCTCCCCACCGGACATCCCAGTTGGCTGCATCTTCTCGTCTGCGTCGTCATCGTCGTCGTCGTCTTTATCTCCTGTGCGGGTTCACGAGAGCACAGGCTCAGAACACCCGAGAGAGATCGGCCTTATTACTTCAGCGTTGTAAAAGCTTTGGGACTGAGTGACAGAAACACGCCCCAAATAACAAAACAGAGCCAGGAAAAGACTTACAACATCTTTGTAACCTGCAAAGCAAAAACACCCAGCAACACCGCAAAATAGAGTTGATATAAGCTCTCAGACACAAGAGGCCACAGGCAGTTTAGTTTACAGTGTTATTTTTTCAGGGATTACCGTCCACACATGACTTACCCATAGGCGTGTTGGAGCGAGGAGGAGAGGGCAAGGTCACATGTCTGCGTTTGTTCCTGGGTCTCAGAACTCGAATCAGGGCTTGCTTGCAGGCAAAGCTCACAGAGGTGTCCTGCAATTCAGGTACATGGTTCTGACTTTGGCATATTTCTCTTGAATACCGAATTGACAATGCTGCACAAACTCAATTCAGCGAGAAGAAATTGGCCGATGCCAATTACTAAACCTAGGAATTACTGGCAATCAAGGAATGTGTACCAGCACAGACTTACGTTTATCCATTTAAGAAAAGCCCAAAATGCAACAGTACAAAACCTATTAGTTTTTTGTTAAAAAATCTAAATCATTTTATTTATATTATTTCATTAAAGAAACTTACGGGGCACAACAACATCTGCATGTAGATTTTAGAGGCGACATTGATGCAGTCCAGCTCACAGGTGCAGTATCCATGAATGATATCCACTAGAGCATTCACTGTGGCCTCAATGTGTGTCAAACCTGATTTTAAAATAAAGAGATTGAGACCACTTCACCAACAGATGAGTATAAACTTCACAAAAGGCTTAAACTTTTTAAACCTTCCAAAGCCTTTAAATGTGGCATGAAAACATTTAATCATTTTTATTTCTATTATAATTGTATAAACATATACATTTAACACATTTGCTCTGATTTATTGTATAACGCAATAAAACGAGAGTTGCTTTATAAAAAGACTACTACTAATAGCGGATACAATATCAGATTGGAGCAACCACTTACCAGGCAAGCAGGCTGGAGCCAGGAATGCGTTCTTGGGTTTTAAAGCATGGAGCTTCCAGAAGTTATTGACCAGCTGCATGATGAAGTTACAGCCTTCACTCTCCAAAGGCTTCTGGGTCTCCCTGCTCTCCTCTGATGTGTCTGAGGAAACACGCACCATGTGCACATCAAGCTACCACTTTCTGGAATGAAAATGCTTTCACTATATCCTGCACTATATGCAGCACTATATGCTGTAACACATCAATTTCCCTACGGGATTAATAAAGTATTATCTTATCTTATATCCGTTTTCAAACCACTTCCAAGTGTTGGACAATCACAAAACATTGGTCAGCTGCCACAAAGGAGCTTTTTCAAATCTGGGGGAACACTTGATGGAAAACACACACACAAGACAAGCCAGCCCATAGAAGAGTGGACTTTTAAAGAGGAACTGCAGTCCCAATTTTTTCTAAGTCTCAGTAACAAAATAAATTCATCGGCATTGCAATTTTTTCTATTCATTGTTGCCATGTTGCAAACTCGCATTCCAGTTCCCACGAATCGCCACGCGATGCGGCCCTTCCTGCTCACTAGTCACTAAGGACTAATGTGATGTACCAGCAAATAAATACAGGTGGTGCAGCAGACAGTTCACCACAGAAATATTCCAGCTTGACCTGCACGCAGAGTTAACAAGTTGTATTTGTTGGCAAAACCGTCTCGAAGTCGAGAGCAATAGTTCTATTGTATTGAGAGAGATGTATTCACAAGCCTGCTCGGTCACTGCAGCCTCACTAGACGTTTTGTTGCCTCATCCTGAATCACAGAACATGGTGCTGCACATAACTAGAAATGTAGTCGATTCTTTAATGTGAATTGGAGGTTTTAAACGTTCCTGTGTACATTTTACTTTGTGTGGTTTGAAATGCACTCATTAATGCGGATTCTTTTTAACCCCAAAATATAAAAACAGCGTTGCAGTTCCCCTTTGGGGGTGTGGGAAGCCAAATGGACAGAACTGCTGACTGGTAGTGGCTCAGAGCCAGGACAAGTGGAGGTGCAGTACCTGCGTCAGTGTGAGGCAGCTTGGACTCGGTGAAGTGCACCAGGTTGTTGGGCCTCATGATGGCAATGGAGCGCGCGGTGATCACCAGTCTCTGGAACACCTCAGGGTCCAGGTCCTTCCCATCCCTACTGCAGGTGTTCAGACACTGCACTGCGTTGCTCAGCAGGGACTGGTCCTGCCAACACGACGAGCACCGCCAAGATAAACAGGAGCGAAAGAAACTGGCAAGCACTCCCGATACACCCGAGCACTCTCCTGTGACTGCTTTCAGACATCATCCCATATCCATAACACATTTTAACAAGCAAAGCTGTCACACCAATTCAAACACAATACAATGACTCTGCAACGTGTTCTGCTGTCATGCAGGCCCAGCAGTCTTTTTTTTACATATTGAAAGAATGTGAAGTATTTGTCTTTTTTGTAAAAGTTTCTAGTAATTCCAGTGTACTACAAAAAGATGTCATGGACATGGCTCATAGTCCTTCAAGGAAGAGTACAGGTAATCACATTTGTTTCGCTTTACACAGTGAGGTCTCCGATTTAGCTTAGGGAACACTGTACCAAAATGCACCGAAAAAGGATTAGAGGTAATGTGCCTACACACTACACACAGGAGAAAAGCAGATGCTAAGCGTGCTCCAGCACAGAGTACCTTATGGTTGTGGTAGGCTGAACGGCTTGTGTGCAAGCTGGCCAGCAGGCCCTTGGTTTGCTGCTGGACCCCAGCTGGAGTGGGCATGGACAGGAGCAGGGTGGCTAAGTCCAGAGCAGCAGATTTGTTCTTCTCCTGTATGGCACCGAAACGAAAAGACAACATCAGTTTGGCTTGCGTTTTTTTTCTCCTCCTCCGCTCTTCCAAAAATCACAAGGCTGATCAGAAGGAAAGGGTTAATCGTGCTTCTTTTCAACGCTCCACTCACCTTTTCCGTCGTGGTCCCGACAGCAAAGCAACTTTCGAGGGCTTCCAGGGAGCTCACCACCAACCTGGCAACCAGACACATTCGGACGCAGTGAGGATGCAGTCTAATCTCTGCGTGCTTCTACAGAGGGCAGTCAACTCAAAAACCCTGCTGCCGTTATAATGAGATTTTGGAACATACTTGTTAAATGTTTCTTAAAACAACCAGCATACATTTCCAAGGAGTGTCAGAAACATGTATTAGATTAACTCAGCTCTGGAGTTTCCTCAATAAATAAGCTGCTTTAAATACAATTGTATTGCTAGAAATATGCAATATGTGCTAATTCAGGTAAATATGCTGGCTGGTGCTGCTTTTTATTATACCTACACACACCACGCAAACGAGCAGAGAAAGGGGGGTTACTAACCGGTCCAAAGTTGATAAGGACTCAGTTTCACAACTTTTTTTGGGGGGGTGGGAGGGCAAAGAAAAGGAAAAATGTGTGAGGATCACAGAATGAAACAAGTCCAAATGGCTTCATGTACACAGAGGCAATGCAAACATGTAGCAGTCTCATGAGGGCAGCCATGCACTGAGAAAAACACCACACACGCCCAGACCACTGGAATACGCAAGAAATCCTGTTTTTCCAACTTCTAAACTTAACAAGCTATCTTTTGCTCAGCCAATGAATATCTGAGACTATGAAATTATAAGATGCACACCTCAAAACAGCTTATTGCCCATTGGGTTATATAAACAGGAGCTAGGATGTTATGCACTAGCGCGCCCTTTTCAAAAACATTAGCACAAATGGGTTAAGAAAAGCCACGAACAATCGTGAGGAATTCAGGTGTGCGTGAATTACAGCATTTTGCTTTTTTATACCAACGTAGCAGCAGCTTTGGAACGATTCCCTACCATTTCCCTGTGAGAAAAAGCAGACAGCGCCGATTCTTTATGAACCAGGTTATGCGAGACGGAGGACAGGGTCAAGTTTCCTCGGCTCACCTTTCCAGCACCGTGCCGCTGGCGGATGCTGGCGTTACGATGTCGCTGTCCCCTGTGCCGTTGCCCTGATTGAGGTTGGGGCTGCAGACGTTGTTGACCGAGGCCGAGGGGAAGTCTTCGGGGGGCTCATCGGGCCAGCCGAACTGTTCCTTGGTCTTCCCGTAGATCTTGATGGAGTCCAGCATGGTGACGCCGGCGGGGTCCACCGATGCCCCAACTGAGGAGGGGCGGGACAAGGGAGGGCCCGCTCAGGTTAGGAACGTCAATCAAGTGGCACTGAGTGTAGCAGCGGGCTCAGTTCCAGCAATCGTGGCTATAAGCTTTTAACAAACAGCTTTCAATGGCCGTGAGCGCAACATTTAAGAGGAATGCATGGGGTGAACAGAACTTCCATAATTAAATAAAGCTTTTCATACAAATGTGTATATACATCTTTCACGGATCTATTTTGAATGATCACAGCAGTTTTGAGACATGCTTCACAGCAAATGAGCCGGCTGCAGTACATAAAGGAAACGGGGAATTCCTGAAAGCCGACCGCCACCGTGGAGGAGGAGAAAGAGGGGATCTCGATTGGAAGCCAGAGGGAGGGACCAGTGGCACTTACTGAATATGGAGAGCTTCTTGTCCGCCTGCAGGGCCTCCTCACGGGTGAAGGGGAAGTCAAACCAGCGAGAGCGGGTCAGGTTCATCTGCATGGTGCGGCCGAAAATCTCCAGGTAGGATGGCGCTCTCTCGATGGCCTGGGTGCCCACCTGCACCCGCATGCCTGTCATCACCATGGAGCTGTTGTTATTGACCACCTCTATTGTAAAGCCCCCGGGCTGGACAGAGCAGAGCGACAGAGAGAGATAAGGTGGGCGGCTGAAACGAAGAACATTTCATGCAAAAGCACCAGTATTTGCAAAAAAAAAAACAGAAGTCGCTGCTCAACTCAAATGGGAAAAGAGCAGACGCCCACAAGTCTCCTCTTTCATCAGCTTTGGAAAAACATTTCCCTGGTCCTGCCTTCCTGTTGAATAACCATTTCTACAGAAAACCATTTAGTGCCGGTCAGCATTTGCCCCCACCTTGGTGTTGGCAACGTACATCCCAGTGGAGTTCAGCCTGTGCTTTATCTGCTGAGCGTTATACACCTGCAGCAGATCATTGCCTCCAAACTCCACCTCAGTCAGCTGCTGGTTGTGCTCAAAGAAATCCACAGGGAAGGTGACCTGACTGGTGGAGCGAGTGGCTGAAATGAGAAGAGGGGAATACAATGCATTCACCACACAGTTAACAGGAACTCAAGAACATGACATCTACTGACATGTAACGCAATGCCATTCTTTTCTACTGTCTGTGTGGCGTTAGGCACTATCATTCCTGTATGTCCTCCTATAAAAAGCACTGCAATTATCACTTTCTAGTGCGATGTTAAAGAGACTAGTGTGCTGCCACAATATGAAATCTGAATCAGGAATGTACATAAGTAAGACTTGCCTGTGTGCTGCCACGATATGATATTTAAATCAAGAGTGTACATAAGGCTGACAAGCCTCTCTAATATCTGTAGCCATACAAGCTGACATGGATAAGGTATTGGCTGAACAAACGTAATAAAAAAAATAATTACAGTATTCCCAGGCATGAGATTCTGTACCCTTGCCCTTACTGGCAGCAGCGGCCTTGCGCTTGCGGACGGGTTTCATGATGCTGATGACGCTGCTGGGCTGCAGCGAGGGCTGCAGCCAGTAGGAGGTGTTGTCCACATTCGCCATGTAGATCCTCAGGCTGCCGTCCTCGCACAGCAGGATCATGGTCGTTCTCTGCTGGTCGTTGCTCGCCGTGTGGCGGATCGCCACCATGTCCTGAATCTGGCACAGAGACAGTTAAATGCAATCATACGGCATTAAGTGTCGTGTCCATCTTTAAACCCATGTGGGCTGAAATGGTATGAAAAAACCCTGATGATTGTCTTGATCGCCCAGCGCTACATCATTTCAAGTTATATTAGCCACCATAAGGAAATTCCAAGAACTGGTGGTGAACAATAGTGTGCATCAAAGCAAAATAAGATCCACATAAAGTGTCTGATTTTTAAGCAAGCATGTACATATTATAACAGTTCTTAACAGACCTTGGCTTTGGCAGGAAGGGTCTTGATCTCCTGAATGAGAAAGGTGTCTGGCTTGACCATTATGACCAACGGGATCCCAGTAGTTTGCTGAACACAGCACACTAGCCCAGGATGGTTCATCACTTCTGACCATTGGCACAGGGCTGGAGAGGTCTTACTGCCACCGTTAGAGCTGTAATAGACAGGAACTTGAGTGTTGTTCTGGGAATTCAAAATGACGGTTCTAAATCTAGGGATTTGTATTACTCAAAGTTGGCATGAAGGCCATTCTTGTGTCTCTGACAGGAATTCTGGAGGGCAGTCATGCATTTCTAATAACACGAGCAGATTGCAAGCCACAGACTGAAAAGGGGTCAAGATATTGCCAGCTTTTAATACTGAAGAGTAGAGACAGAGAAGAAGAGACAGAGAAGAAGATAACTATAAGAACATGACAAGAATTCTGGGAGAACTCTAGCAGAACAGGCTTAATATTGTGAACTACTGCCCGGACAATTTAATACACAACCTATTATTTTCAACAAAATATACACTTCATGGTTAACTTATAGAACTGTGGGCAATTAATCTTGTTGAGAACACCTCAAATGATTCAATGATTCAAGCCACCATATCATCATCCAAGAGATTTTTCCGAATCGAACGTCCGCTAGAGTGGGTGGCTTACCTCTTGACGTTGATGGTGAAAAGCCGCTGCATCTCCATGGTGCTGCGGCTGACGGTGGCAGCAAAGGACTTGCCCTGACCGTAGCTGAAGAAGAGCATCTGCAGCACGTGGGAGTAATAGACTGACACGCCCCCTCCTGCCACCTGCCCATTGCTGTCCTGTAATCAAAACCACACAGCGCTGCATGAGGCCCCAAGCCTAGCCAACAACACCCGGCAACTACAGAGGGAGAATTCCAAAACTGAAGCTTGGAGGCTTTAAATCTTTAAAATAGTTTTGGTTTCAAGTAAGTGCATTTAGGTCTAACATTTCAGTCCCATGTACTATACCGGCACGTTGGTAAATCATTTATCCTATTGAAGATCTCTGCAGTCTCCAGCCTCATCTCCAGATACATTGTGTGATAAAGCCACTGATCTGAGACGGGCCGGCACCAAGATACCTTCAGGTCCTCGTGGTTGATTTCCAGGACGTTGGTGACGTAAAACGGGCCGTGCTGGGCGCTACTGGACTCCTCCATCACCTGGGTGTAGATGTACCCAGCTGAGGACATGATCACGATGGTGTTCTTGCCCTCCTCGCTGAACAGGAAGGTGGCGTCGCGGATCTTGGAGCTTGGAAGCAGGAAATAATACATGGGGCTCAGGGCATCCACAGACAGGTCGTAAATCTGAAAGGAGCAAGGTCAAAACAACAGCTTAAGGGAAGGAATAAAAGTGTCCAAGCGCAATGTTGCCATTTTACGTTCTACTGCTGCATCACACTTTTCAATTTTCTAACTTATTTCTTTGACTTGACAACCAAATATATACTGGAAAACGTGGAAGTTATTTTTTCATACAATAACAATGTACATGTGAGTTCTTGCAAGCATCAGAATCTGTCCTGCTGTCTTGAAAACTCCCCATATGGACAACCTCCTGAACGGATGGAAGGGAGGGTGCAGGAGACCAGCTTGCCTTGACGAAGTCAGCTGTGATGATGGCGAGCTCTGTCTGGGAGCCGGGCAGCCAGATAGCCTTGATGATGAAGTTGCCAGTGGCCAGTTGGGGGTGGAGGACCAGGTGATCAGAGACCGAACCTGTGCTGCTGAACGTCAGGACGTGGCAGTCCTGAGGGGCGGAGGGATAAAAACTCATTGTGATACAGTAACAGCAAAATCAGCTCAAATAGAGCAAAGGTCCTGGCCATCTTTCCTCAGACTACACAGTGACAACCGTTGTACTTTTGCATTACAGAAAAATCAGTAACAGAGATTAAGATGGACAGGGACAGTGTATTGTCTGGACTTCAACAACCCGAGACTTGCACGTGCTGTCTAGCTGATCCCGCCTATTCATTGAACAAGTAGGGCAGTTTTTGTTTCTTTAGTGCCAAAAGCCGAGCTGCCGCAGTTACCGATGAAAACAGATCTGACCTTGAGGCCGCACACAGCCAGGTAGTCCTCGTTGCAGGGGTTGCCAGTGAGGCTGAGAACGGTGAAGGGGACAGGAGCCGAGGCCAGGCGAGTCAGGGTCAGCTTCCTCTTGCTGGAGTCCGCTTGCTTCAGGAGTGCAGACAGCTGGAGCACCGTGATCTGTCAGCATGGATGGGATCACATGTAAGAAACGAGAGGGCGACTTAAAAACAGAAGAAAACAGCAGACAGGACTCTTGTTTTAATATGCAAGTATTCCATTCTGTGAGAACACCTAAAATGACATTTAGATAAACTTAGACCTGAACAGCCTTCACAGACATATCATTTTCTTTTAAATGTCACAGTATAGCTTCATTAGTTTTGCCACAGTGCGTATTAAATTCAATCCCTTGGGTATCTACTTCTGAAGAGCTCACATAAGTACAAAGTGATCCCAGAGCTTGGAAGCACAGGACGGGGCAGTGCTTGTGAATAGCAGTTTCTAGGACAGAAGCACTCAAGATGACGGGTCGTTCTCCGGCAGCGGCGTACCTTTCCTTTCTCGTGGCTGACCGCAAGATGCTGGCGCCGCCCGTGCGGGGAGGACAGGACACACATGGCCACGCGACGCAGCACGTGGGCGCTGATCAGCTGACGGATGGTCTGGCCCTGATCACCGCTGTAGTTCATCCGGACATTCTCGAAGGCCCCTTCCTGAGACCCCAGCGTCGGGACCTGGCCACACACACACAGACAACGACATGTCTATTAGCAGGGAGTGGCTCACACACATACCACAGTGCAACGCAACAAGTCCTTTCCAAGACGGTCACAATCACACACCCAGGGAACAGCACACCAACACGTCCTTTACCACAGTGCTAACACACCCAGAACCAGGCAGAGTCCCAGTAAACAAACGAAGAGCCCAGCACACATCCCGGTCTGTAGCGCCTACCATGAGCTGGTCCGTCATCTCCACGTTCTTGTCCAGGGTATGCAGCTCGTTGAGGGCGTGCTGGGCTCGGCTGCTGCTGCCTACTGCAGACGCCTGCTGGAAGTTGGTCTGGATAGCATCCATGAGGAAGATCAGCATCTCCAGCACCAGAGGGGCCGTAGAGGACCCGGCCTGAGAGGGAACAGATGGACAGACACAGCAAGAGAGAGGGTGAAGATGAGAGCCCAACATCATGCATGCACTTCTATCTTCCTGAGGGTAAAGAGATGCATCGTGTGACCATGCCAGAGAATGCTAAGGGAACCCAGCTTTTTTTCAGTTGACTTATTTTCCTATTTTAGCTTGCTTCCAGTTTAGCAGTATTATTAATCTTAATCTCAGTTTTCCTGGAGGGGGTTATCACTAGGATAATGAAAAATAATGAAGCACTAATGAAGGTTGAGGATCAAATGTTTTGACAGCGCTTCTCTTCAAATGCCACTCAGGCAAACAATGTTCAAACACATACGCTGAGACACAGAGCAGTTATTAAAAGTCTTCTGTCAAACCTGTTGGATACATTAAGACACTGTTTTAAAAGTACTTGGGTGTGACTCAGTTTCACATAAGGAGTAAATTCAATCCAATTAAGCTGCTCCATAGCTCACAGGCAAAATAGAAACAAGACCCTAGATTTTTAACATAACGAGCATTACATTTTTACAGTGTTCTACGTGGCAAAATGAATCAAAATATAAAAATCAGTCATTTTGTACCATCAGACTAGCAGGTTAAATGTTCATTTCACCTAATAATTAAATGTCTGGTGCCTTTATACAAGGGGATGTAAAGTTTCAATGTGAAAGTAGATGCATTATAAATGATTTAAAACCATACAAGAGCATGGATACCCAAATACAACCCCCTTAAGAGAGCTGAAGGGCATGGGTTCAGTCCCCACTGATCCAGATCCTGAGGAAAGGGCTCTAGCCCCCATCTAAGATCTGGAAGACCGTCCTAACGACCTTGAGAGAACTGGAAGGCACTGATATAGTCCCCCTGGGGTACACCCCCCCCCCGGACCTTGAGAGATCTGGAAGACAGGGGTACAGCCCTCCCGACCGAGAACTGGAAGACAGGGGTACAGCCATCTCTGACTAAGATCTCGAGGAAAGGGGTGTAGCCCCTGTCCAAGGTCTTGGCCCAGCCAATATCTCGAAGGCATGGCATTAAGACGGTTATTAAGATGGCTAGCACACACCAGCCTTAAGGGGTGAAGAACAAGGCTCGGATGTGGAAGAGACTGCGGAGCAAGCACTCACCACCTGCGCGAGGAGCTCCTCCCGGCAGCCCTCGATGTTCTTGCACACGCTGCTCTTCTTGGGCTTCTCCTCGTCCCCGGCCTTGCCGTCGCAGATGGTGACCTTGCCCTTGTCGGCGGGCGAGGCGCTCTGGTGCCGGATGGCGCTCTCGGGCATGCGCAGCTCGCTCTGGAACGCCGAGGACTCCTTCATCGTGGAGCTCATGCCGCTGCTGGGGCTGCGCTTGACCAGGGCCTGGGGCACACAGACGGGCAGCAGGATTACACCCCGGCAGCACCCAGGAGCTCCACGCCAGGCTCTCCAAAGCAAAACCCAGCTGAAGTGCGATATATACATGCTGCACATATCCAGCACTACAATAGTACTACTGAACCACAGCGTGGAAGATATTGGAGTAACTGCTGGGACGTGACCAAACGGTATGTCAAGACAGAATAAAACCGACTTGCATTCACAGCTGCAGCAGCTAATTGCCTTCTGCAAGGTGTTAAGAGTAGAAGCAATCATATTAAATGACATGTCTTGCACTCAATGTGCGAAACCAACTTTTGTCATATATGGGAGGACAGGACAAACACTCAGAAATTTGTCGCAAAACGGGACATTCAAAGTGCGAAACAAACTTCTTTCTAAGCCTGGGTACTGCATATAAGAGCCGGTAAACCCTTCTACTTCCTGCTTTCTGTGGGGCAGACCAACACATGCTGCTATCCTTACTGAGCTCAATGAAACCTGGATCTGCAGACAGTGTCCTGCTCCTTTATCGAAGAACTTCCCACAACTGCATCTACTCACAAATTCCACATGGCCGATGCACAGGAATGTCCAAGAGTAAGTGTGCTCTAAATAAGCAGCTCCATAGTTCAGCAATTATCCTTCTTTGACTACTTTGCACTATTTTTAGTGTTGCATATATAGCAAAAGCAAGTTGTCATAAAAAATTAAAACACATCTTGCATAAAATGAGTGTCACTTAAACAAGACGCTTACCAATGATATGAAATGAATGGTATTAGCCTAAAACTATTTGTAAGACTTCATTTTTTTCCATGAAAGTTGGAAGAGAAATGTTACGCATGCTTGAATACATCCCTGAGATCAGAATCTTAAAAAAAAAAGGTTCACGATCCTCATATAGGAGAGTTTTCCTGTGGTACGGCGCCTCACCTGGCAGCTGCCATCCTCCTTTGCCCCACAATCACAGAAGAAGGAGCCATACTTGGCATAGGAAATCTCATGGTCTTTGTGGCACACCTTGGCACACACTGTACAAACCCCAACACCATCCACCATCTTGCACGTGTGGCAGTGATACCTGCAGGGGCAACAGACAAGAGTGTAAGATACCAGTGTGGTTTATACACACCTGCAAGTGCTGAATGTACAAGCCATTTTCTGTTACAGAGCACAAGGGGACTCGCAACAGGAATGGAAAATGTTCCTTATTAAAGTGCCACTGAACTTAAAACAGTAAACACTTGAATTGGCAAGCTGAGAAACTCTGAGGCTATATTTCACCCTATGCAGAGGAGTATGGGCAAAAGCTCCTGGCAAAGCTACTGAACATCTTTCACAATAAGTAGGAATACATTATACAACAGCTCTTACCAGTGTTGGTTCATGAACTCTTTCTGTGTGATGGTGAAGGTGCACAGTTTATTGCAGAGAGAGTCTTCATCCTAGGAAATGCAAACACCACCCACAAGTCATAAGCACACAGCTAAAAATACACGAAGAAATACTCATAACTGATGGGTGGCTTAGATGCAACATCTGCCCTATTACAATGGGAACAAAAACTCCGAAAACTACCACACAGTTTCAAAAACCCTATAAATATCAGCCCTCTCCAAGATGGACCCATGTCAGGCCTTGCCTAATGCTAAATGCCACGTTCCCAGGAAATGCATGGGTTAGGTCTGCCTCATTTTGTGCTGGGGTTTAATCACAGCTGTATGTCAACACTGAGAATAATTCTCATTTTAATATGGCAGTACTGTGATTACAATGATCATTCCCTACAACTGCTGATGGCATTGCAAAAATCCCTTTATCTTTAAGGGAATGCGTGTCCCACAAGATACAGTCCATTTTAAGGGTTCCCTTCAGGTGCATCTGGGATTTAAACCGTTACACCAGATCAAGAAAACACCACGTCTATCTTCAAGATACAAGCAGCCCATCCCTCACCGAATCCTCGGCCTGCGAGTCCTCCTCCTCCACCGCCAGCTCCTCCACCCAGTCGGAGTCCACCTCGATGGCCCGCTCCTCGCCCTCCACCAGCAGGTGCGAGGATCCCTGGCCGCCGCCCTGCCTCAGGGCGTTCATGACGTCCGCCAGGTAGGAGATGATGTGACAGGTGCACTCCAGCATGCTGGCATGCTGCAACAAAGACGGCCCACAATCGCACTCTTCCTTTCGCTATAAAACTATTCTCTGGAATGTGATTTGTTTATTTAAAAAACATTTACACCCCTTCCATATACAGTAGATAGAATGGTTATATGGTATTTTTTAATTTTTCTTCTTTTGGAAAACAAGCGTTTTCTAAAACTCAAGTAAATCTTAGATGCAACATCTAAAAATGCAAAATCTGGTGTGTGGCTTAGCCTCGGTGTTGTGCTCTCACCTTGCCCTGGGTCACGTTGGCACTCACTTTCTCCACCACGTTCTTCTGCGTCAGGTATTTTTTACTGGAAAACGAATGAAGAGCTACTGTCAATAAAATAAAGCAACTTTAAAACCCTCACAGACAGAACTGGCAATTTGTGAAAAATGGGCAACAGAAACTTTGCCGGCATTAAGCCCATTCCTAAAATCTACGTAATCTCCAGAAAGTGAGATTCCACTTTTTAAACTTTATAGCCTGGGTACATTTTCTCATATTAAAGCCTGCTCAGATTGCTAAACTGAGTGTTTGACCTGGAGCATCACATGAGGTTCTTTTGTCACTATCAGCGCTGATGAAAGCTCTCCAGATTTTGACCTAGCAAACCCTTGTGCAATGCACCTATGCTTTACTCACCATCTAGCCAGCCAATCCACAGCTGCCCGGTGGAGCTGCAGATGCCCAGCTCCTTGCCCCGCACTGGCCAGCGTCGCCATGACAGCCATAAGCTCCGGGAAGCCGGCGCCCTCCCCATTGGACAGCATCTCCGTCGCCATGGGGATGAGGGTGTTGAGCAGCACGGTGCACACGCCCTCCCCCACCTGGCTGTTGTCGCGGACGATGTAGGTGGTGAGCAGCTGCAGCAGCTGGCGGTTCTCCTGCACCGTCTCCAGCTGGTCCGATTCCTTGGGGGCCGAGGCCGTCATGCGCGTCAGCCAGGCCTGCAGCCGGGCCGGCTCCACGCACGCCAGCTGGGCCAGGGAGCCACACAGGCGCAGCAGGCTGGGGTTCGGGCTCTTCTCCGCTGGAAGCACAGCGAGCTCGGGTGTGAAAAGCCACGCTGGCACGCGACGGGTTTCTTCCAACATCCCAGAGCGGTATCCCAAACCCTAGTCCAGAGGAGCTCCAATCCAGCAGGTGTTACAAGTCACCGTTAAATCACTGATAAAGCCAGTGTGATCATGTAAACGCTTGCTTGTTTGTTTCATTAATGGCTGACAGGTGCTGCCAAGCTATTAAAACAGGCAACCGGTAAAACTACCTGGACTGGGGCTCTGCAGGATTAGGGTTGGAGACCCCTGTTGAACAGATTAACTAACAGCTGGTGATTTCTCTCTCCCCTAGGACCAACTGAAAGCATTTTCTTCGAAAGCTTTTTCAGTTGTTTTTTTACCCCCAGTAAATCTTTTTGCCACATACGGTATTAGATCAGTGATGTAAATATTGCTCCCCAAATCATACAAAAAAAAGTCAACAGTTTGTATCTCCTTTGCTGCACTGAAGGTTTTCACCATAACTTTTGTGCGAGACAAAAGGCATTTTTATTAAATAATAAATGTATTTCTAATTCTAATTTAATCCTTCTTTACTAACACCATTAAAGATGTATATTTTATCATGAACCATGTATATACAAGCTGAAACAACCTCCTACAAGAACTGAAAACTCATCCTCACCGAGCTGAAACAGTTTGGTAAAGAACTTCAAAACCCTGTTGCAGAATTTGGCAGAAAGGTTTTCATTTGCTGTGGCCATCATGATCTGGACTAGTTCTCCACTGGAAAATGAAAAAAATGGGAAGTTTCTCAGTGCCATCAAACAGTGCTTTATGTAATTCTAAAGCAAATTCTTCAACAGGACCTTATAAGTAAAAAATAAAATCAGGACAATTAAGCAACAAGCACTGTTTACGATTAAGCTATAGAAGACACAATCAAACATGATTCCTGACTTTGGGTATAATTGGTCACTATAAATAAAAAACCTGCACTCCATGACCTCTTTCAAAATGCAATCTGCAGACAAGACACAAATCAAATAGAAATGGTTGCTGGAGCACCTCATATAACCTTCAATGAAAGTAAACTACAAAATGTAAAAGAACCCAGTTTTTATTACAAAGTGGCATGGCTTTGCACAATGTTTTACAACACATCACACCTGCACAAGCCATCCTTCAGCAACGGGAGAGGAAGAACTGGTTGGGTGAGGGAGTTACCTGTCAGTGAAGAACTCCTCCATGGCCTTGCGGGCCTGGCTGCTCTCCAGCTGCTTCTCCAGGTACTGCAGACACTCCTCCAACACAGACTCGTCGAGACCACTGAGACACAGAAGAACTTTCATCAGGCTCAGCACCAAACAGGATACAGAAACCACTGGAATTGTGCAGTGCTTGTATATGCTGCATAGCTGTTTTTAACTTGAGTGGCTAGCTTGTAAACTACAATCACGTTAGCCAATTCAGATCATCCAGCTGTGAACTTTACTCCCTACGCCTTGCAATAGGAATTAGAAAATATTGCTGAGAGTGTCTTAGCATTTTGGCTATAATGCTTACTGTGTTGATACCTTGTTTAGTTTAGGTAAAACCAGGAGATGCCTTGCTTAGTTTGGGTAAAGTCCTGGAGAATGGCCCACTATCCCATTATTAGAGGAGACTATTTCAGAAAGACAAAGGCAATTCTAACACTGATGAAGCACGAACGATGAGAAAGTAGTGGTTGCCTATGGTGCAGTACTATTGAGATCTTTCAACTACTGGGAACAATAACTGGCTGATGAGATCACCTGTTGGGATCGGAGTGGTTGGCAATGATGTTGTAGCAGCCGGTGATGAGGCGGTCATAAACGCGGGCCAGGAACTCGTCCGACTCCGCGGGGCCAAGGATCCTCTCCAGGGAGGTGCTGCTGACCTCGGCCACACTCTCCATGCTGGTCTCCAGGAGCAGGGGCAGCAGCGTGCGGATCACCTGCGAGGGGTTCAGGTCCTCAGGGCACCAGCTGCAGCAGAGGAGACAGCAGGCCCAACGGGTCAAGAGACGAGCCGCGACCGGAAATAAGAACCATCGCTACCTCACCCATGAGATCGGGTAAAAAACTGAAGGGGAAGGCAAACAAGGCCAGCGTATTTCTAACCTACGCGGGAAAAGTGGAATATGGAATACGAAACCAATAAACAGCAGAAAACCAGCACAAGAAGACGTGAGCTGAAATTGGAACCAAAATCTGCTGATCAGATGACAGGATTTCATGGCTAACGTATAGATCTTGTCTTCCAGTATTCTCAGAGGAGAGCAGGAGTGTGGTATGCCGGGAAGGGGTTCAGCGCACTTACACGATGAGGTCTCCCGTGAGGCGCACCAGGGAAAGCAGGATGTGTTTAAGCGATGAGGCCAGGGGCAGGCTCTGGTTGCTCAGCGTGCCAAGATGCGCCGCCTGGATGGCACTGATGTAGCTCTCTGCGGGGATTGTGTCATTGGCAAAGGCGTTGCGCTGGGCAGAGACAAAAAAAAACACATTCTGAAGTCAGATTTCCCCTTTTCAAAAAGGTCCCCCAGAATTCAAAGTTCCTCGCGATCCGCATACCCATGAGCCGATGTTGGGGAACTCATTGGTGTTGATGTTGTTCCAGGCGTCACACAGGGTCTGCACAGCTGAGGGGAGATTCTGCATCACAGGCTGGGCTAGAGACAGAACACAGGAGATCCAGTCAGGGTGCTCCTGAAGCTCGATGCATTTCAACGAGGAAGCAAACGGATTTAAGACACGTGAACGGCATTGCACTTCCAGAGTGCCTGTGAGCTGCCATCTCAAAACCAGAACTGCAAGGCCAGTTCTCAGGATCCACGTTATATATCATATTAACAGGCTCAACAAAGAGCCAACACACCATATATTAACACATCTTTATAAATTTACACCCATGGCCCAATAAAATCAATATTATCACAAATTAAACAAATGATTAACTCGCAAAGGAACCCTCAAAGTCGCTAAACTAAGCTTTTAAAAGACAGCTCCTACTTTCAGATTTGTTTGCATTGTATAAACTGCTGTGATCACAAGAACCTTAGGAATCGCACAAAAAATGTGTATAGGCAAACATGCCTTAGTCACCTGCGTCATTTTAATGGGTGGTTAAAGATGCTTTCTTACTCATACATAGGTTCCATCACAAAAAAGATTACATGAAAACAGTAGGATTGTTAAAAGGGAACTGCAGTCCCAATTTCTCAGACCGGTTATTAAGTCTCAGTGACAAAACAAATTAGACGGCAGTATCGCAAAATGTTACAAATTCTGAATTACGCACAAAACTGTGAACTTTGTGAAAGTACCGTATGGTTGCCATGTAGTCGTAAACCACTGGTCTCGCCACAGGTGAGAATGAGAGTTTGCGCGGATTGTGACATAAGATCAGCCCTTCCTGCTCACTAGTTACTGTAATGACTAATTTAATTCGACATACGAGCGAATAAGTAAAGGTTGTGCAGCAGACATTACACTGCAGAAATGTGCAGTAAACAAATAGTACTTGTTGGCAACGGCATCTCGAAATCTAAAGTAATATTTCTATTGGATTAAAAGAGATGTATTCACAGGCCTGCTTGTTTACAATGTAATAGGGCTGCTTCATGTCACTGTATGTTTGGTTGCCTCGTTCTAAATCACAGACAAAGATGGTAATATAGCACTGTGCACACCTGGAAATCTAGCCTCTGTTTGTTATGGAAATGACGGTGTACATTTTACTTTCATTGTGATTTGAAATGCACTCAGCAGTGCCGATTCCGTCCAACCTTGAAATACAGAAATAGCGTTGCAGTTCCCCATTATTAACCAATCCCTTATTTCTGTAAAGTTTTAAAACACGTGAACACTAGAGAAGCAAGTACAGGGCAGAAGGCAGAGGTAGGAGGTGTGTGAAAACTCCTAACAGGACATGACCCAAGAAAAACAAAAAAAAGCCCTCTGAAATGTCAGCGGGGGTGACTGGTGCACTCACCCAGAACGTTGGCTTTGCAGCGCGTTGACCCAATAGACAGCACAGCGGCGTAACCCTGCAGCTTCTCCTCCGAGCGCTTGTTCTCTCCTTCCTCGGGGAGACTCATCAACAGATAGGACCTGTCGCACAGGACGAGGGCGTTTGCCGGTTAGCTCATCGAGAGAAAAGCATCAAGCGAGCCTCAGGCCAACATAACCTAACAATTCCTCAAAGAACAGTTTACCACGTTTCCCAGTCTAAACCTCAAGCTGGGTGCTAAGTAAGGGCCTGGAGCTGATCAAGCTGAATCGGTTGTCCTGATCTAACCAGCGTTCCAAGCGGCCCAGCTGAAGACTCGGGGAAATCCGCGGCAGCTGACCTGGCGAAGGCGGTGTAGGTGTCGATGAGCTGCAGCGCGGCGGGGAGCAGGTTCTTGGTGATCTCGGAGGACTTGTGGGGGTCGGTCTCGGCGGCCACTTTAGAGAAGTGCTCGTCCAGCGAGACCTGCACCTTGGAGATGACCGCGTCCAGGGTGTAAATGGTCTGCAGGTTGGGCACTTGGAGAGACAGGATGGCGCTGGGATCGATACAGCAGAATGACGAGATCTGGAGAGGGCAAAGACTTAAGTTAGCGCCTGGCATGAACAAATGTTTTATGTCAATGTCACCTATTCATTAAACACCTCATGCAACTCCACTTAATTTACCCCTGTATTTACTGTACTTAAGACATTTAGCTTCTTTAGAAACTTTCAAAACATTTTGCCAACCTCTTGTTTACTGAAGCACTCCTATATCGAGCAGTGGTCACAAACATTTCTATTTGTCAGCACGAAAAACACAGTTTTGATTCTACCGCACACAAGTAAGAGCATGGACTCCAAAAACAAAACTGGGAGTGCATCACAGCAATCCTGTCTTGGGCTGCCAAGGATTCAGGAGAGCGATTCGTTTTTTGACAACGGACGCAGACGGAGGCACAAATACAGCCCGACGGCTCTTGAAATAAGGCTCACCTGCCGAGCGATGTACTCCTCTGCCAGCTCCACATCGTACTTCACAGCGCTGCACTTGGCCGACGCCACTTCGATCAGAGAGGCAGCGTGCTCCGGTTTCATTCCTTGTTTAATAAGGTGCTCCTGCAATCAAGGATGAAAAAAAAATATATATATATATTTGACCTCATTCCAAAGAGGTGTGACCAGACAGATAATGATAACAAAGCTGCCTCATTCCAAGGGCCTAACAATCTATCAAATTCTTGGGGCCTGCTCAGAAACCAAATGGAACAATCCTTAGTAAGGATCAAGTTGCTGGTGTTGTCAATTTTAAAGTCAATCTATTCATTTTCTAAGTGCTTCTTCCTGAGGGTCATGGGGCAGCTGGTGCTCGTCTCAGCAAGCTATGGGCACGAGGGAGGGGTCATTTAAACTTATTGCAGCAATGGCATGTTACCTTTTTTCAATGCCACGTTGAGAAACGGCGCGAGAAACGCACCCACCCACCACACCCGGTGGGCAACCCCCGCTCACCTTGATCCAGTTGACGTAGGTGCCGACGCGGAGCCTGGACGACCAGCGCAGGGTGTGCAGGATGTCGCTCTCGCCGGGGTCGCTGGCGCTCGGTTTCAGCTGGTCAATGTAGGCCTTGGAAGGCGGCAAGATGCCCAGGATCCGCCACAGAATGAGGAAGTAGTACTGGAGGGAGCAGGCCTCCTGCAGCACAGCGAGAAGCAAGACCGGCGTCACGCTCCGAACGGAATGAAGCATTCCACAAATCGGAAAGGGGGCTACAGCCGATGGAAAGGTCACAGTAGAAGACCACCCAAAAATGTTTTGAGAAGCGTTTAGAAATCGGTGACTACGAAACTGCTCAGCACACACTACCACCGGACAAGGCAATCTGCATGGCCGTGTGTAAATTGCAGGGCGCATACTACAAAAACGTACACTTTCCAGAATGGAAACAGAAATAGGCATTAAAGTCCATTCCATGGTTTAAGCTTTTTTTTTTAATTCTACAGAAACATGTGATCTCAACAGCACTAAGTACAATCATTGCAGTATTCCAAAAATTCACATAAATGCTTAAAGAGAAATTGTTCATTGTTGAAGCCTCCAGGCTGGTGGTCTTACCAGGGGTGTGATCGTTTTGTTCTCCTGCCTCCTGGTCATGTCGAACTGTGAGCCAGCAGACAGGAGGGAAATCAGGTAGGAGTACAGCTCATCATACTTGGTCGCTCTGTTAAACAGGACCTGGAACACCTGTACAAATGGAAACCCATGTCAGTCACGAAAGACCCTGTTTTTTAATTCAAGAGCAGCGGCTCACAAAACGAGTCATTAAAAGTCAAATTCTGTTCTGAACAGGAAAGAAAGAACTATGAATAAATTACGGCTAAAATATTCTAAGGATAAAGTTGTCCCCAACTCTGGACTTCACAATGTTTGCTTTCCGGATAGTAAAACCTACATTTTAAAACAAGCTTGTTAGAATTCGAAATCCTTTCAGTATAAATTACTAAGGGTGGGATTAGTGTGTTTTACCGAACTGTCCAAGTGGCTTCGGTCATCTTCTGATGCTTCGGGTGAAAGGACACAGTAGAATTTAGGCTGAGGTGTGGAATCTGCACAAAAGATAAAAGCACCAGTTAATTTCTACCAATAAACGACTGCATCCTGACAACCAACGCCTTCTTTGAGATAATCTTGGCTATGCTGCAGAACATAAGCATACCCTCAACTCCTATACAAGTATCATGGAATTTCAAGAACTGAAACTTCCAACGCCACAACACCAAGTAAGTAGCAAGCGATCAGGAAAGAATAAGTTGTAAAGTGAGGGCGCTGCCTACCTGCCGGGCAGTGCTTTGTCCAGTTCTCCTCCACCTCCTTGAAGCCATAGTAAAGAGGAGCTGTGCTGCGCTTGCTCCCCTCCTGGCCAGGAGTGCTCCCAGCCACTGGGGGAGTAAGCAGGTTATACTGGACCTGGAAACACAAAGAGCATGTCTTGATCCTTCCCAGAAAGACTTTTCATTCCCGTCTGTTAAAACGTCTCTATATTGCAGAGTCACATATCAGGAAAGAGGACTTACAAGGACTTAAGATCTGATCCTTCATTTAAAGCCATGGGTTCTTTTTCAAAAATAGGATCTACTGTGTGATTGTTGCCAGGATACTAAGCCCCATAAGAACTGTGACTGAAATGATGTGTGAAAGGTGTCCCTATGACACTTTGAGCAGAACCAACCACAGATAACCCTTCCCTTCATCCAGGACCCTCATAAAAACAGTTATAAGTGGAATTAAGCCAGTCGGTACGTCTGACCCATCAAGTACTTAGTAGGGAACTGAACCAAGGATCTCAGCATCCCTTTGGGTAAAGAAGGGCCTCCAGTTCTCGGTATTAAAAGCACGTCCACGACCCTCACCGATATCACTACAAAACCGACCTAAAGGCCCACGAACACAGCAGGACGTTTGGAGTCATCTGGGAATGCAGAGTGCCTCCTACCTGCTCAAAGAGGTACATGGGGACTCTGGAGTACTGATGCAGCAGGTAGTCGAAGACCAGCAGAATGCGAGCCAGGTGGAGGGGCACTGCGTGCAGCTGCGTGTCGACGCGGGCGGCCACCTCGGCGATGGCCTGCGTGCACATGGCCAGCACGCTGCCCCGCCCCTTCTCCGAGAAGCTGTGGAAGATGAGCAGCAGCAGCTGCAGGTGCTCCACATTCAGGTCCTCCACGTCGCTCGGCATCGCCCCCTGCAGGGCGTGCTGCTTCAGCGTCCCCACGAACCTACGCAAGAACAAGGAAGCGCAAACACGTGAGTCGGGCTGTGGGCTCGGATCGGGGCATTGAGAATGGGCGGTGCTTTGTGTGCGGAATCTGAATGCTCTGCTTGCATTTGCCTGCTTCCCCAAGACAGGCTGGCTGGGATAAGTGTTTAACTGGGTCTCTACACCTGGCTCACACTTTGGCTTAGGCACCGTGCATGAAGGACAAGGCGGCTGTGAGGGCATCCTACCTCTCCCAGACCTTCATGCACTCCGGCACGTCGGGGTTCCCCTGGACACTGGCCTTGTGCTGCCAGATGAGCAGCAGCCTGGAGAGCACCGAGAGTGACTGGGGCTGAATGTACAGAGGCCAAAGCCCCTCGGAGAAAGGTGCTACTCCCAGCTGCTGCAGAAGGGTGTTCTAAGGAAGAGAAATGAGCAGTTTAATGGGCTGCATCAGGCAAGGGTTTAAATCACTTACAGAATCCTGTGCAGGTTGGCCAATTTTGTTTTGTGCATAGAATTCAGCTGACGTTCTCATCCGGTAAATGAACATTGACGAAAAACTAAACCAGCAAATGCAATGGTAACAAAGGGACTGCATTGGTTATTGATCCTTTGCTGCTATTCCAACATCTAAACCGCGCATCAGATTACACAAGTGCAAACAGCAAAAAGATCTTTAGAGCTCAGCATTACGCGCACTGCTCCTAACCAAATACACTGTGCCTTACCTGCAGCGCTGGTGAAGGCAGATCAGACGTCACCAGTGAGTGGTTGAAGTGATAAAGAGCAGATGCAAATTCTTCATCAGATGACCCTGCGGTTAAGGAGAAACTGAATTTGGTAAGAAAAGACAAATGGACTCAACTAAATAAACTCATGTGATGACGAGAGCAACTCCATTAGAGAAATATTTCCAACTGGCAACTTAAAAGTAAACAGTAAGACAGCAGGATGTCTTCAATATTTAAAGATTACAAGTAGTACTCTATGCATGTAAGAGGAAAGCAGGTAGTAGTTTGGAAATTGACAGTTGTATCCTTAAGAAAAACTTAATCTTCACTGAAACAAGTGTTCACTTGTCAACACTTGAAGGTTTCCAGATAGAAATGAATAAAGCCTCTGTTCAAGTGTCTATCTACAGCACTGTTTAAAGCTCACCCTTGACGTCCTTGTCTACATCTTTGATGATGCTGGCCAGGGTGGCCATGTGCTGCTCTGTCAGAGACACACTCAGGTAGTTGCGAATGAAGTTGTTCCTGGATTTCAGCATTGAGGTGGTGATGAAGTTCAGAATGCTGGAGGCCAGGCTTAAAAACTGAAAGGGACAACCCCGACATTTCAAACCACATCATTTAATCTATCAGACGAGCTTTTTGTACACAGTTTACCCACATAAACAGTCAAAAATGGTCTTCCTTCAACTAATTTTATTACCCCTAAGTTCGAATGTTAAATGGCATTCCGAAAGAAAATGTCAGGGCTCTCACCAGCTCCGGATCCTTGCGGCTGGCCAGGATGTTGCCATTCTCCCCAGCGGTCTGCTTGCTGGGACTCTTCAGCCGGGGGGACGTCTCCAGTGGGGGTGGGGGAGGAGGTGGGGGTGGGGCCACCTTCTCTTTGCTGGGAGAGATTGTCTCCTCAAACCACAGGCCCAAGATGGGCTCACTGTCATCGTCTGCAACACACAGCACGGAGATTCATTTCAGGACATGGTTCAGACCCCAAGGAGAGCGGGACTAAACCACAGGAAAACACAGCAAAGCTTTCTTGAAATCAAGGGGAGGGGTATAGCTATCCTTCCTTCATTATTTTTTGTATCAGTTAGGCCCTGAGCAAGTTAACCAGCTTGGAACTGTGCAAGTACCTTGACTGCTGTCTTCCTCTGTACTGCTGAAGTCATCCTCGTAGTACGTATTGGAGTCTGTGGAGGCACTGGCATCACTGCTCACCGAACCTTTTCTCTGGCGCTGGAGGACACAGGCCTGGAAAGAACAAGATGGGGGGTTTGTATAGCCTTCATTCTGAGCCCTCTCGTTTTAGAATGAGTGGACCTAACAGGAGCACGATTGCAAAAAAATGCCAAGTACAAACTGGAGCAGACTAACAGAGGTGCTGGAGAGTTTTTTCCGGTTGCCTGACAACAGGAGGAATGTAAGCACGCAAGGACTGTACTACTTTAAGAACTTCCCTTTTCTAATATTGTATGTATTTGCACATAGATGCCACTTTTGATGCAACAGCTTTCAAAACACAAGCGATCTTGTTACCTTTCGGTAGGAGGTGGACAGCAGAGTGAAAAGCAAGTTGGTGAGTGGCACAGAGTCGATCAGTCGCTGCACCCTCTGGATGGAGGTGCTTTGGGCCATGATGTTGAGCTCTGCCGGAGGGCCATCGCTTGACCAGTCCTGTGAAGGTAAAGCCATCAGTTGCTAGTTTGCTGCCCGAGACTCCCTGGAAAACCAGCCGGTACGCAGGCTCTCAGCTGCACTCACCCGGTGCAGTGCCTCTACTTGCAAATCCTGGAAGAGTGACGTGAGCAGTTTTATGGCGTGGTTGGCCAGGACTACAGAAAGAACTCCAAATCCTTGATGTCTACAATCACAAAAAGGCATTAAACTTAAAAACGTGCACATGTGAGAGCTTAATATTCAAAATAATGGAAAACAATCAGACGTGCCTACTAGAACAAGGTAGTCATTGAATCTGTTCTTACTCACTGAAGCATACACTTAATTTGAGATGAAACTATCAACAGAACACAAGACTGTACCGTGTCAATATTCAGTACTCTTGTGCCTCTCTAGAAGACGATCTGAGAAATGAATTCCGAGGACTGTAATAGGGTTTTCAAGCATACCCCTTCCCTGGCCCCAGCTTGGGTGATCCCGCCCCATCCTTAGTGCGGGCGGCGATGTCCCGGACACGCAGGGCAGCCAGAGGGTCCTTCTCCTTGCCCTTATCAGCCAGGGCAGTGGGGCTGAGGTTCAGGATCAAGTACAAGCTGTTTAGCAGGCACCATGCTCCCAGAAGCTGGAAGTTCTGATAATGCTGTAAGAAGAAAGCAAAATTACTAGGACTATTTGCAACAAAACAGGGCATTCATTTTTGCTGCATTCTCTCTCTTCAATTCAGATAGCATACCACAGGGAATGGAAATTGAGATTTCTTTCAAAATACATTCATGCTTTATCAATTGGATTTGTGTTTTGATGTAATCATTAATAAGGCACTGAAACAAGCTATCAATAAATCACTCATGTATTCCTTTAAGACCATGTTGTGAATTTGAGAAAGTCACATCTACTGCCCTCCAACACAAAGCTGTAAATGTGTCTTGATATTTAAGATTCCAATTCCAGACGTGAATAGGACCTCCCCCGTGTGGTATGTCTGTATAAAAAAAAAGTCTGCAACAACTAACCTCACCACCTGCTCGACGGGAGTTGCTAATAGCCTGTCCAATCATGTCATAAATTTCAAGCTGTTGGGGAACAAAATTTGTTTACATTTAGTTCAGACTGCGATATTCTTTGACAACTAGGTGTAAAAAGCAAAAAGCACAGTCCTACAAAAAATACTGGAAAAAAAGCAGTGAAGCGCTCTGACTGGATTACACAGTACTAAACATCCTGGCATCACTGTCCAGGTACAGGCTTATGATCTATGAATCAGACTGTAAGGCACAATCATCCTTCAAACACACACTGTCAAGCTGAACTCCTACACCTCAACCGCCAACAATGCAAAGTTCCAAGACTGAGATACTGCTGTGCCTAACATACTCTCCTGTACTGAACTGTGAATACATTTCCAGTTACTGGGAAGCGGCTTATGTTTATGGTACTTTATGCCAATTGTGCACAGTGCACTTTTAAGTCTTCAAAGGCTTAGAGGTCATGAACAAGCAATAGCAGTCAGGACAGAAGACATGCAGTCGATGGGAGAATACTGACACATTTCTGGACTATTGTAGCAGCATCTTTCTCATAGTCTTCCTCCTTGGAGCCGGTGGAGGCAGTGCGCAGCTGAAGACCGCTACCAACATGCAGAATGGCCATGCAGGTGGCTACACTAACACCTGAGAAGAAAGCAGGATTGATTTTTGATGAAAATGAAAGAAATGAACCACAGTACTTAATGAAGATTTATGGCAAGCTGTGATGGGGCGAATCTCCCAAACCCCTCATTACTGCATGACCAAACTAATGCTATTGTTAGTGGTCTTAAACGTCTTTAGCACTACTAGTTTTTATCGTCCACAATTCCTTGGAGGGTTCAGGCCACTGAATGAAAACAGACATCCAATGCAAGGTGTATATTTCATAACCAACTAGAAACCCATTGTCAGTAAGCTTTGAGTCATCTGTTTCTTTTGAGTTAACCACTTTGACGTTTTAAACCATAAATCAGGTACTTGTATAAATGTAATTCCATGTTTAATCAGTGGTCACATACCAAAGACTGTAAACAAAATCTGTATACAGCTACCAGCGGCCTTAATATTAGAAGGATATATTGCTATGCAAAACTGTAAAACTATGCTCAGCGTTGGTTAGTATGAACTCCTAATCTGCGCCTGTGGCTGGAAGGTTGCCGGTTCGAATCCTGTGGCCGGCAGAGGAATCCTACTCTGTTGGGCCCCTGAGCAAGGCCCTTAACCCCCAACTGCTCCAGGGGCACCGTATAAATGGTTGACCCTGCGCTCTGACCCCAAGCTTCTCTCCCTGTTTGTGTCTGCGTGTCTCATGGTGAGCAATTTGGGGTATGTGAAAAGACAAATTCCCAATACAAGAAAATTGTATATGGCCCATAAAAGTGATCTTATCTAAATATCATTGAACTACAGTATGTTACAGAACATTAATATTTGTTTTAAAAAACAACACAAGGAGAAAATCATATTAAACCATAACCTACCTGCATAGAGACAGCTGAGGGCAAGAACAGTCACATCTAATAATCTTCCAGGAGTCAGGGGCTCCAGCACAGGCAGAGACAGCGTGTCTAGGGCCATTGTCACATCAATCACAAGGGAATGAAACCTACATCGACACAGAAGCAGCACTGAGCTCAGCTCTCCGCCCTCGGGATTTATCTTGCAAGATTAGAGCATTGTTTCAAATGATAAACCTGAAAACAGTTTCCTGCATACCCAAAGGGTTGTGGGAGTATGGAACAAACTACCCAGGGCGTTTCTCAAAAAGAGTAGGGGTGTAACCCCGGCGTCCGATTCAAATTTCCCCTTGGCTCTTACCAATCATGGCCTCCTAATAATCCCCATCTCTGAATTGGCTTCATTACTCTGCTCTCCTCCCCACTGATGTGTGGGAAGCGTTCTGGCGCACTATGGCTGCCGTCGCAACATCCAGGTGAGGCTGCACACTGGTGGTGGTGGAGGGGATCCCCATTACCTGTAAAGCGCTTTGAGTGGAGTGTCCAGAAAAGCGCTATATATGTGTAAGCATTTATTATTATTATTACCCAACCCCAGGGGTGAAGCCAGTACTTGATTTTCATGCAAGAAACAGCTGGATAAAACCACTGGATCAATCAGCTACAGAAGAGACTAGAGGGGCTCGACGGTCTCCTCTTCCCCAAGTCAAGAGCGATCTGAGGCTCTGCGCTGCCGCCTGGCGAAGTCCAGTACCCACCCGTTGCGCACGGCTGTGGCGTCTGCGACGGTGGCCGGCATGATGAAGAAGGAGTTGGCCGAGACAGCGTCCTGGAAGCGGTTGATGTAGCGCAGGAAGTACGGCAGGTTGAGGCACACACGCAGCAGCTTCTCCGAGCCTCCTGTGGAGAACACAGCGCGCTACACTCCTGCACATCTACACCTCTGGCACAGGACACACCCCCAACATACCAGCCCCCTCCAGCCCCAAAAGGACCCGATCGGACAAAATCGGCTGGATGCTTGTGCGGGACACACTAGCGTTTGTCAGAATGATGACATTTTGGTACCTCTGAATCTTTAGTGGAACAGAATGTGGAAAACTTAAAATTGTGCAAAACAATTACAATGCCCATTTTCAATTATCCACCACGTCAAAATAAGAACTTTTAGTTACAAGCCCTGTGAACAATATATGAGAGCAAGGAACTGCATCAGCATACAAGTTCCATAGGAACAAGGAAAGGTCAATTCCAAGTTGAAAAGTAATTTCCTTTTTCCTTTGCAAATAATAGCTATTACAGCACTTACTCTAAACTCTATACAAATATAGTTTATTGTCTGGGGTATATTTAAAATATTTTTCAATTCAGAAAATTAACAGACTTTATTAATAATTTTTTGGAACATACCTCGTGAATCTTTTTCACATCAAAAAGGTATTTCTTGGACAAAAAACGTAGAAGGTTGATCCCAATAAATAGTTATTTATGCCAAACAACAGATGAACTCACCCAGCTCTTGTAAACTTGCCACATTCTGGGAAATAAAGGCATTCTTCATTTTGGCCTGTGTAGCTTGGTCTGCAGTTGTCTGATCGTCACCATCACTTTCCGCCTGCCCAGACAGACCAAGCAACAGCATTAACCACAGCAGACAAAGAGATAATCACAGCGGACGAAGAGGCTAGGCACAATCAGGGTGAATTCATGTTAAAACTATAGTCCTTCCAAAGCACACACTAGACGCTTCATATCAAATCAGTAATAGAATTGCTAAAAATGAAAATATTTTAATTCAGGATAACCACTATTTGGCCCCTATTCTTTAAATTCTCTCTTATTTGCTATTTACATGATTAGCACTAAAACCTCCTGGATTCCTGAGGTCTGAAGAGTCTATTCAGAGTCCGATTTTCTATTCTGAGAGTCTGTGGGAGCGTAAAACAAGCTCTCAAGCAGTGTTGTTGAAGGCAACAACTTGGGATTCTTTCACGGAGCGACTGGATAAGATGTATGGATCAATCAGCATATACTAAACTGACTAGAGGAGCCTAATGCTCTCCTCTTGATTGTAACCTTTCTAAACGGCAAAGGCAATTTCATTAAAAGCCTATGCATTTCCACTAAACTTTATTACAAGAAAAAGTACGTGATATGAATGCATTTCCATCATGTAAAATTGCTAAGGCACCTTTTAGCACCGCTTGTCAACACAACAAATATTTTAAAACACACTGCTGCAAAACACAAAAATGGATTTGTATTCCCCAAATACCATCTACGACACACTGTCCATGCACTGCAAAGGGAACGCTGGCGATGGGAGTAGTTTGCTGAACTAGCATCCTGCGGAGAAGACTCCCGTCCCCCAGTCGGAACTGACCTGTGCGTGGGTGGAAGGGGACGCCAGCAGGGTCACGTCGGGGTTGAAGACCGAGGTCAGCTGGTTGAAGAAGTTCATCTGGACCTCCTTTTGTCTCAGCTCAGGGTTCACCGGGGAAGGCAGCTCCTTCTGGTCTTCCACTGAAACACAGCAGGTGTGAGACAGAGCCTGGAGTGGGTATCGTCACTCACACCCACCACCCAGCACAGGAATGAGAGATGACAGATTCCATCTGACATGCACAGCGCACCAAAGCTTTCTTTCTGTGAGCCTTGGGCCTGGCAGAATAAAAAGAGGTTAATAACTTCTGACAGGACATTGTCTAGACATCAGAGCTTTAATAAGTGCACAAATATTAAGCAGCTGATAAAAAAGAATAGTGTTCGAATACTGGTCTGCTAGGCATTGCGTTATTGACGTATTGTGCTGCAAAACCATTCGGTGGCTCTTACCACTAAAGCAAGTTCTAGTTTCACTGGGGTTTGGTTTACATTTGAGATCTTAGTTGTGGCATTTTGCCTACAAGGGTTGCTGGCTTTGTCTCAGAGACTCCTGGAGGACTCCAAATTGCGCTTGGCATCTCCAGAAAAACTGCTGAATGATTAACGCAAGCAAGGTTGAGACTGGCCGGGTACAGACCAAACACACCCATCTTCTACCTGCTTCTTCCAACTCAGGGCCGTGGGCGAGGCCAGAGCCTATCCCAGCAAGCAACGGGCACAAAGCAGGGTACCCCCTGGACAGGACAAGTCCACCGCAGGCCCCCCAAACTGACTAGAGGAGCCAGTTCACAGCCAATTAACCGACCAGGACTTCACTTGATCTCAGCCAAAAGGCTCAGACGTTTTTGGACTACGGGAGGAAACCGGAGCACCTGGAGGGAACCCACACAGAAATGTTTGAGGCTGGTTAAGTAAACGGGGAGAACATACAAACTTGGTGCCGACAGCCCCCCTACGCCTGGAACTGAAGCCAGGGCCGCCGTGATTGTGCCAGTGCACAGCCCCTGGTGCAAGGACTACAGACTAAAAACAACGATGAGACCGGGGGATGTATACTGACTGCCCATCCGTACTGCTGATGCGCAACGTGAAACCTGAACCTGTTAGTCCAAATTGGAAAGACAGCTTGGGGGGAAGGGGGGGGGGGTCGTGTGGGGAACACCATCAAAAACAGCCAGACAACCAATTTGAAATGGATTCATCTGGAAGTGAATTGTCCTGTCTTGTGTAAGCTGTCCAGCCCACAGAGTTTTCAACATTCATCTGCTGGAACTCTTCCCAGCTTCATCACCCTGTATTATGCACACAAACACTGAGCTTTGAGGCTGGTTAAGTAAACGGAGGATTTGAAGTACCAACACAGAAACCTCACACTCAGGAGTAAGCACAGCAACACTGTTCTCTCCAAGACTGGCCTGAACACAACTGCAAACCAGCTCCATAGACCACAGTTAATTCAGGCATCTAATTAACCAGATACCATTTAAAACAAGGTCAGAACCTTAGTTTAGTACAGAATTTCACAAGGTCTTTTTTAGCTACAGCTTTCTTTTGGGACTCTGTTTTAGAACAAAGCCAAATCTTACATAATACATTTCCTCACGTTCTCTTGCAGGCACACAAGAGAGATTATTATTTTTATGATTGCGGGCTTTGCACACCCAATACAAATGACACGATTGAAAACTCAAAAGATCGCCGAGCAATGTCTTTATGTGTTAAAGCAGGTGTATAAGAATTTTAAAGCTAATTTCTTCTGTGAGCATATCGTTCAGTACAGATCAGTACTGTCGATAAATACGGAACTTTGACTTGTTTTTTGATGTATGCAGTTCTTATAACTAGCCGTTTGCAAACAGACTTTGATTTATCCCAAAACGGTTGGAGGAGTCTGAATGTTTCCACACGTCCTCAAAATTATCTCTCAAAGCTCATCTTCTCTATCTGTTTGCACTTGACCACATGACAAAACCAGAACGTTGAAGAAGCTACAGAGAGCCTTACCATCCGAGAGAGTCTTCACAGTCTGGGGAAGTTTGGCAGACTTCATCATCGCAGTGAAGGTAATGATCTCTGTTCTGTCCAGGCGGCTACAGCCAGTGCACAGTCCTTTTATTAAAAGGATCAGGTGCTTCTGAGGAAGGGAAAGCCAAAGACGACAGCGTAAGCTACTAGAGGAGACAGGCAACTACCCAGGATGCAGTTGGTCAGAATGTGAAAATGATTTATGCTTGTAAGAAATTATTTTACAAAGCCAATACATACTGATTGGGTCATAGCACAGCCAAGCGCTAATGGCTTCAGTAACTACAGACACAGATCGGGACCCTGGGCTGTGAATGAGCTACTCACCTGTGAAACTGCACACGCTTCATCTGGGTTTTCAAGTCGTAGCAGCGAGAATTCGATTAATACTTTACAGGCAGCAGCTACAGACAGTAACTGATTTCTAGGAACTGAAAATAAAAAGACAGAGGCAGCCATCACAACTGGGCATGTTTATTGTTTCTAACAAACAGGTGAGAGCTCACCCAAACAATTTAAGGGGAGAATTTAGGACTATGAGTGCCAATGGGGAGAAAGACAGCAAGGTAGTTATCTTATTTCAGACGTTTTGTGGTAAAAACCTAGAAATAGACATTTAAATAACAGTAGTAAAATGCGTTACTATCAACAGGTCTCAACACAAACAATTATTCTATTTTCAGCTGTGTCAGTATTCATTATACACAGTACAAATATTACTTCATTTAAACAAAACTATGAAGTGTGCAATGAATTGTACCACATGGCCACCATTATTTTTCCATTACAAGAAGTCATGAACTCACTCTGTCCACAGACCGTGGTGATGTAATGTGCAGAAAGAGCCACAAAGGATGAGTAAAAGGGCTCGTACTGTTTGTCATGGTGTAGAATCTCAGATTCACTGCAGGGAGAAACATTTGGTTACACTTAAGCAAGCCTAAAAAAAGAGAAACACGTTTCATCCAACAAACGTTTCGTTCAGCAAAAAGAATGGATTGTAAAATATGTCCAGTCCATAACTGACTGACTGCACCTGCTGCGATTGCACTTCAGCAATAGTGTTTGCTGCTGTATCTGGAAGTCACACTGCAGAAAACTGTTTTCCGGTCATTCAGTTCTATCTGTCTGACAGTGATTCCCCAAACCTGCTGATGGTACAGTTGAGATGTGTGCCAGCTTCACCTAGGCAAGGGCATTCAGGTTCAGCACTGTTTAGCTGTTATCACTAATCAAAAAGTGACTCTGTGCTATCATGCCGTGGAGTTGCATGCTGAATGATACTTAAAAAAAGACCACTTCGAGGGGATCCCAGGGCTACATGTCCAACTCCACATGTAGCTTCACATTCAACAAGGTGAAGGTGAGCAATCCAAGATCAAAACCCATGTATGCAGCAGGGCATTTACTGGAGCAATACAAGCAACCCGGCTTGCTCAGAGTCCCAACACCCTCTGGGTCTAGACCACTCCGTCAGCACTGCTGCTGAAGTAATGGCTCTAGGCTTCTAACCCTGAGTCCATGCTAAGCTTCGCTCCAGGCAGAAGGCTACATATTGAATACAGACCACCCTGCCATTAAGCCTGAAGGGTATCTGGTAGACTTGCTCACTCTAAAACTTTAATGCAAGCGCTGAAACCTATCCCTCTGAATAACCCCGATAACAATGGGACTGTTGAGCTCAGCTGAACACGGAAATACCAGAAGCACCAGTCTACCACAACTGCTTACAAGCCTAACGCACTCCTGTACCACAGCAGGCCACTGGAACACTGTCGAGCACCAGGAGCTTGGTGGTGACCGGAGGAAGGCTGTGTTTCTGTAGTAACTGCCATTTACACACTCTTGACCCAGGGAACTGAGCACAACAACTGCATCAGGTGCATTAGCAAATCAAGCAGAAACAAGAACATTAATGATTCAGCAAACGAAGGCATTTATTATTTTCAGATAAACGAATATTTGGGATGCTGATGGTATCAGGAAGTGAAAGAGGCCTATGGATGGGTGTGTCCGCATTGGCACAGAGAAAGCATTTTAGTTTGCCTTCCGCAACACCCTTGAATAAACAAACACACACACACACAAATACGGTAGATCCCTGCCGTGATCAAGTGTGTGTAGCCCTCGAATTCAGCTGTAACCATCGGCTCCACCTCTACTTGAAGGGCAGCGAAACAAATCTGCCGTTTCTGATCAAGGCGACAACCCAGTCTGAACCTGCCCCCCTTGTGCCTACAGCTGCGAATAAACCACAAGCAGTCCAGTGGAAGAGCAGCCTTTTTGTAAATCAGTTGATACCCAACGTGTCTGCGCTTATGCTAGATTTAAAAAAAAAAAAACAGCCACATCGTGTACAAAATCACCCAGACAAGAGGGTGGCGATAGCTTTTGCCGATTGCGTGTGATTTAACTTGCCACGACCAAGCACCCTCTTCAGCTGATACCAATTATATCATTTAGGATCCCTGTTAACTCCGGAGTCCAGCCACTCCGCCGCGTATCACGGACAACACGGGCATTTTCTTAAAATAAGGCAGGTTCTTAGGAGGACAAACTGATAAATGTTTTGCCGCACGATACTGTTTCACTTAACTATCAATCACCAACAAGCAAATAAATCCGATGACAGCCGTGTGACAGGTCACCGCATTTGAGTCATATTAAAAACAGAAGACATGTACGTGTTTTTTTCCAGCTTAGACACCAAGTTTTGAGTTGTGCGCTGCCGTCTTTAGGCTGCTAAATCCTCTCGGAAACAATCACAATGCGATATTTTTTCCGACTGTGCCTTTAATTCATCGACCCCCCTTCTCTCCCCGGCCTGATGATAAAGCAGATTCTCGGTTTGTGGCTCTCAACGCCAAGCGCAGATCCAGCCTCCCTGCTCCACGCTGCAGTCCCTCCCATCCAGCGACAGGGCCTCGACAAACCTGTTAATGATAGATCCCACAAGCTGCGGCAGCTCCTTCGTCTCAAAGGCCGTGTAAGAAGCTGATAAAAGCGGTCGGACAGCCGCAGTCCACTCAGGTTCTCCATCTCCTCCACTCGACGCCATCTTGGGATTCTGTGCGATATGAGGCGATCCGCCCCCCTCCAAAGAAGGAAATGAGGTAATCACAAGACAGCCTAACAGCAGGAAGTGAGGTCATCTCTAAAAGTAAACGTAAGGGGGTGGGGGAGAGAAAGAGATTATTGATGATGTCACACTGACGTCGGGTGTGCCCTGCGTGCTGAACGCTGATTTTATCAATCTAGTTAAATGGCCGAACATTTTTTTTTCTTTTTGCCTGGAAATGCTCGCAACATTTCCATTAGAATTATCATTAGTATATCTTTGTTTTTACCACCAATATGTTTTTAATGTAGTTAAATCAAGCCTTTTTTTACAAAGTATGTAACCATGGTGATTGGATGACATCTTGTTATCCATTATATTTTTATGATTAATTTAGCTGTAGCTTTAAACCAGTGGCAACATTACTTTAGATAATGGTGAATAGCCTATTATGCTGTATTCTGAATAATGTGATTTTTAAACTTAAAGGAGTGCAATGAAATAAAAGACTGTTCAATTCGTGGTGTGGGCATTGGCTTAGGAGGTTCAGTGAGATCAGTGTTAACCGTATTTCCAGTGTTGAACAGGAGTTCCAGCTATTCCCCTCAATCACTATCCCAATATTTAAAACCTGGACAGATTACAACAGGAGGGACTCTTAAATTGGCAAAATAATTTTGTCAAACTTCACACTGACTGGTGAGGGGACTTCACTGCTGCCTTTGCCGAAATTATTTTTGATCATCACCTGGCAGTCACAAAACACATCAGGTCAATTTTTAATTCGTTTATTCTGTTCTCACAATGCTGAATTCCATTATTCCAAAAAGAAATGGCAACACCTCACAAAGACTCATGCAACCAAAGTACAAGAGTCTCCCTTGACTCTGCACCTCATTTTCACAGCCCTTAACACCCACCTACTCCCACAGTGCCATGCTTCCACTAGGCTATACTTCCAAACCACAACAGAGGCTTCAGGAGTTCCAGCAGAATCTGGGACAAAGAGATTGTACTAGGTTCTACTGGAACATCATTGTACCAAGAGACTACCGAGGTAAAAGTTTAGTGTTTGGGAATAGAGTCTAAGAGCTCTATATCCTCCCCCCCCCCCCAATTACAACCGACCCAATGTAAAAGGTCAGCATAAAAATATCACGTCTGTTTCTGCTTCTTATCACATACTGTACCAATGTTCTGAGCTCCTCTGTGATGTGGCCATGCTTATACTGGCAAAAACAGTCACTAAATAAAACTAATCTTTTAAAAGCAGTAAGACTAGATGATGCACGTCTCACACAGCAGTGAAGAGTACATCCGGGAAGAACATAATATACACACTTTGCTTTCTCTTTCGTACTTGAGAACCACCGAAGCAGTTTCTCCTTATTGTCTTACAATAAATGAATTCCCACAATACATTGCAGAGGAAGGTCTAAATCTCTTTCAGTGAACATTTGTAAGGAAACGCCAACTTCAAAACTTAAGGGAAAAGACACAAGAAATCAATACAACTAAACAATGTCACAAACTAAAGATGGTAATCATTTCTTCTTTTATAGATCAAGATCTCAGTGTAGGAAACTAGTAATTCTTATTAAAACGTGAAGCCAACTAATTGATTTTGAAAGTATTTTGAAAGTGGGATTTTCAAAAGCTTAGCCCCCGAATTTAGGGATGAAGAACCACCCTTCTCTGGTTATAATAATTCGATTATTTTAAATCTTTAGGTGGTGTGAAATAATATATTTCATGTTATAAATATATTTTCCAAAAAGAGCACATGCTGCATGTACCAAGCACCCAGACCTCAAGTAAATTGTTTTTTTTTTATATATACACATTTTAAAAATAAGAAATTCCAGTGCACAGCAGACTTTCGGAAAACCAATAACATTTCTGATGTTTCAAGTTAAGAATTACAAAAAAATGAGATCCATTCAGTCCATTTTAGTCCATCAAATCATACCTGGGTGAATCACTTAAAATTTTAAGTCTATTATAAATAAGGTTAAACGAATGTATGTTTAAGATTAAGTTTCCCAAAAATATGCATTAATTAAAAAGAATACTGCACATTTCTTAACCATGTGCGAAGAAGTCTTCAAGTGTTCATCAGTTGACCCATCTTTTCATTTGCTCTCCGACTCTGTGGCACCTTCCTCCATGATCCCAAGACCACAAATCTCCTAAAGCTTGCATTTCAACCAGAGCCCGAACAACATCAACACAATCATTCCGTAGAAATGGCAACTCATTAACAACGAGTCACTGAAAAGTAAATATTTGTTCTATTGTAAAATAAAATGTTATGGCCAATCCTGTGTTAAATAAAGTACAATGCACAGACAGTAAAAATGAAAGGGATAGCTCAATTCAGAGCCCTCTGCTTTCTGAAAGAACTTTCAGGTGGAGAGTGGAATTCCAAGGGTGTGTCAAAGGAATCCTCTTCATTGGAGGTACATACAGTCCTTTCTTTATTAATCAAGAAATTCCAGCTAACGAGGACAACAGCTTTCCAACAGTTCTGAGATCATCTTCAAGAAAAACATTCAAGTACGGAAGATCACATGAAAAGTAGTCAAGGGAAATACCCCCAAAATCATTCTGATGTCTCTTTTCCCACGTGCACGTTGTGACACTACATACAAATATCCCTACAATTTCGCTACCAGATTCAGAGGATTCTAAATGTTGGATGATGAAGGGCTCTGGTTGGGAAGAACCTGGGTATTAGTGGTCTACAGAAAATGGGTCTGGAAACCGCTGTCCAAGTCATCCCAGGGCGCCAGTTTGCAGAAGGGGCGGCGTCCGTCATGTGGGGTGTCCTGGCTGAAGCAAAGCACGCCTTACCGCCAGGCGCGGTTCAGCAACTTGACCTGGGCCAGCCGCTTCGTGATCATGGTGGCAAACACCAGGCCGAAGAGCACGCTGCTGATCAGCACGTAGTCATAGTCATCCTTCAGAACGTCGAACTGCTTCGAGGGGTAGACCCGCGTCTGGTAGATGTCCAGGCCGTATGCCACCACCTGGGAGAAAAGAGGTCAATCCATTGAGATCCGATTTGGCTCAGTGCGTTGAACCCATCCCTAGCCATTATCGTTTGTGGGTTGTCATTCTGTACAGCATGGGTAGGCAAATTCTGGACCATCCAATTCCTTTATTTTTTCCTGGTTGCTAGCTATGCCACAGGCAAGCTGTGGAATAGCCTGGAACGTTAACTATTTGAGTTCCATAGCAAACAATATCACTGTATACCATGAATGTTTATATTATTATATTCCACCAATAAAGCCTTATATTTTTAAAAGTTTAAAAAGGAAAAACAAAATACAAATTCTCGTCACTACCATACTGACATTACCTTGATATGACTCATATACAATGCTGTAATACAATATTATCGTCTGCTGCAATACAAAATACACCTATTTTATATATTTTATAGAGCCACAAAATAAAGTATCTAAAACTTTAGGTTTCATTGCTGCTTACTGAATATATTACTTAAAATAAGTCATTTCTACCCATGAATGGATAGCACTACAACTAATACAGTTCTCAGTTGAACACGACATGATAATTTCCTTCGATCCAATCCAGCGTATATAATTTACGCTGCCTTGAGTTTGCGTGTAGTTCTCTACCCTGTTTCATTGACAGCAGTCCTCTGCAGAGTCCAGACTTACCAGACAGGTAGACTCCAAACCAGAGGGGGCAGTGTAGATCCCTCTCACTCTGGACACAGTCTGATTGTAGTTAATGAACCACTCTGTGCGGATCGGCATCTCTGGGGCATAAGGTATAAGGTTCTCTTCACTGAATAACAGAAAAAAAAGATTTCTAGTGAAAAATGGGACTTAATAAATACAAGCTAAAATAATTGGACAAAAGTGCTCAGGCCCACTCTTAATGCCGTTTTTACAGTCTTGCCCATTTCTAGGCTTGTGGAACCTAATTCCATCTGGACACAGCTACTAATAGGGTTTCATGGCACACAGTAAGACTACTGGGGCTCTTCACAGTCATGTTATGAATTTTCCACAGAGCTGGGAAGGAGATTGTTTTCACCACGATCATTTTAACCCATGTCAGGTGTACAGCTCTGCAGACTGTTTACTAGAAAGCAGCCAAGAGTGTGGGACTCACCGACTTTGCTCTGATGGCACCTCCGGTCGGCGGGGATCAAGGAACATCTTGGGCAGGGAGAGGATGGCTCCAGAGGGCAGCCCCACTGCGAGCAGTTCAAGCCACCCCAGAATGAAAACCAACAATCCCAACGTCACAAGAGACCTTCTAAAGAAGAGCGCCCCCTACAGGATACCGATACTGTACGCAACTTCCAACACACACAGTTACTCTTTAAATATTCTCTATTGATGAAGGAAAGATCAAGAAATCAAGAAATCTTAATTTCACTTGTTTCGGGACCGCACTGCAAGTAGCAGCGATCGATCTTGAGTGCACAAATGTAACTGCAGTAACACCAGTGTGAATGATGTCATTTTCTTAATCAACAGATTCAGAGATGGCTGTTGGATTATCGAATTCTACATCTCCCACTGACTCCCACTATTTTTTTTGCACACTGCTTGTGCTGTGTTTTATTGAAGTTGAGTGCTGTTGTTGTCGCTGCTGTCGTTGTTCTGTCTTTAAGTTGGCGCTTCCTTCATGTCTTTATATTGGAGCACACATCGCGCATATGGCCAGTAGAACTGAACTCTGAACCCTAACGCTCTTATCGTTCATCCGGTGCCTCTCACCCAGGAGATGGCGGCTGGTGATTCCCTTCTCGGTGAGGGTGGCCTCCAGCGTGCTGATGGTGGAGGGGAAGATGTAGGACTGCTGCAGCACCTGGGGGGCGTGTGGGCGGTCCAGGGAGCTGAAGGCGGAGCTGTTGTACTGCTCCGTGCCCTCGAACAGCTCCAGCACCGAGAACTCATTCCGCCGCAGCTTGGTGTTCCAGTACTCGTACTGAGGGAGGGGCAGAGAGAGGCGGCGGGCGCCAGTTCAGTTTGCCACGAGAGGCGACACGCAAGCAAGCATTTCCTTGTACTGATGTGCATTTGAGAATAAGAGAAAAGGAGGGAAGAGAGTCTTTCCTGTTGTGACACAGAGGTGATCCAAAAGAAATCCGGAGAGATCCGAAACTCCGCTAGAGGGCCTAATGAGACAAGGAATTGCTCTGACTTCTCTGACAGCCGCGTGGGTATGCGATAAGATGATTGCCAGCAGCTGCTCCCATTCAGAGGAGCAGGAATATAAGAAACCCACAAGGATGTCTCCCTGTGTGTATTAGAACGTCGCTGACAGAGAACCAGCTAAGGAGCTTTCCTGCATAAAAGGCATATGATACTTTTTACATCACAGGCTCTGAAATTTCAGATCTTTTTTTCTTGGTGGCAATGATCATGCTGCAGATTGAGCAAAAGCCTAGCATGAGGCGTTTGTTCGTTTGTGACTGAAGTTTAGCATTTGGAACCATATTCAGTCAGATCAGGTTCAAACCTCTTTGGGCCTATTAAAACAACTGCCAATCAACCCGGATGCTCTTGGCAGGTGGTAAGAAACCAGGGTGCCCAAAATAAACCCACGCAATTACAAGGAGTACGTACAAACCATGCCGCCCACTATAACACACAATGCCCAGGATGCTCACCACCACCCAGTTCTCGGAGTGGACGAAGTGCACAGGCCCGCGGGCTTTCCTCTGCACAGCCTCGTGAATGATGCGCCCCGTGACGCCGTCGATCAGATAGATTCCCACAAAGCTGCGCTCCTGGTGGGCATCGGTGCTCTCTGTCACCACGGCCAGCAGGTTAGGGTTCAGGTACTGGAGAGACACGCACAAGCCAGCTTGGGAAATGTACCCCTTTGATCTCTTGTACATGTTAAATCAAGTTCTGTCACTGCCTTGAGGATCACAGTGAATTAAGTGAAAGGTTAACCAGCTTAAATCATAATTACTGCATCTGAAATGACTGGTTCTACATCTTTTGTTCCCCATCTGATAAAACAACACAGCTGACTCCGCATATGCAGGTCTGAACAATTGTTCTCATAAAAACTCAAGGAGAAATTAGTTTTCCAAGATGTATTTCTAGCAGTTTTTCATGACTTCCAACTTCCTTCAATTTATCATAAAATATAATACATTTAGTTGTTCAGTTTATCAACTGGGTTTAGCCATCGTACAACTCTAATATACTGTTAATACATTGTTTAGCATTTTCTGTTACCTTTCCAGAGCAATTATTTTCTTTCCATTTTCAATTGTTTTCTGGCTTGGAAATTAAACTGGCAATTTATCACTATGTGATTGGCCTTTTTTGACATCATTTTATCAGAATAAATCTTCAATGCTATCGATTGCATTATGTAAGATTTAAAGAAAGTACTAGCATTTTATTGTATCTCAGTCCTGGTCACTTTCCCTGCATGAATTCCTGTAGCCCAGTTCAGCAGTACTACTAGAGAGTGGGTCAGAACCTCGGTTTCCCACGATGAAACTTGCTGCTTTTTTCCCCCAACCTGACTCAGAGAAATGAAGGCCGAGGGCTACCTTGAAGAGGACACTGCGATCACCCATCACACGCCCCTGAGAATGGACATGCTCGTTAGCTCTCTTCCCTTTCACTGCCACAATCCTCTGCACCTCTGTGGGAATGACCACCTCCCAGATCAGCTCAGTGGACAGGTCCTAAAAGAAGGATCACACGTACTCTCTTACCACAGACCAACACTTCACAGGTTTGTGATAGACCAGCCATACAGTATGTATGCACCGGCAATATTGATTTCAGCCACAGGAGGTCAGCCTGACACACTTTGTGTCAGAGCATTGAGAAGGCTGTGCTGAACAAGGCTTGTGTGCATTTACATGGGGCTTTAGGTTGTTATCTCAATGCATCACAGCAGAACATAATTTAAGGTTTCTTTAAATAGTCAAACAAATGACGGTGAAGGGTATTTTGCAGGACACTGCTTTTAAATATCCCAAAAGTTAGATAAGTCTTGCTGTCCACTGTGGAATATTTTCAAAATGTGAAAGAAAAGCATTTAACTTCTGGTTCTTGAGCTCTGCCTGGAGCGAGACAAAGGGGTTTTTCAATTTCTCAAGAATCCCAATAGGAAAAGCTACAGATTTCTGCAAAACCAGACCAACAGGTTACAGTTTCAGGTCAGAGTGGGGAGCACGTTCGCTTTTTCCTTGAGGTCGTCACAGGAAAAGAACTACAGGAGCACTGCTGAGCTCACTCTCCAAGAAGTCAATCTGCTCCCGTGGGAAGGAGGCAAAAAGTCTTCAGAGATCAATCGGAACAGATTAACAGTTTGAGAAGGGTTAAATTAGTTCAAGTTAAATTATTACACAAGGATTAATACACATGCTCATTTCCTCTCCTTGACTACTCTGTCCTCAGGGATACAAGGATAATGAGCCACGAAGAGGAGGTTTATATATGCAAGTCCCCCATTGCAGCTAGGACTGTAAGAAGGATCTTCCACAATGCAGATCCCTGTTGATCTAAGCACACCGCGCAAGGGGGTTTCACCCAGAGAACCAGCAGGAAATACCTTGCGCAGTCGGAAGCCAGCCAGCCTGCCCTGGGCGGAGTCCACCAGGTAGAAGAAGATGGAGGAGGCCATCTCCTGCAGCTGCTGCAGGACATTCTTTGTGGAGGGAAAAGCTGTGACCTGGATGAATGCCGCAGAAAAAGCCAGGCCAGAGACACACACAAACACACACAGTTGTCAGTAGGCAAAAGTTTCCCTTTTCAGGAACTCCCTCCCAATCAACATCAGAAATGCAACTATTTTAGATTATTTTCAATCCAGAGTGAAAACCTTTCCTTTAGAATATAACCTTTAACCAGCTTTGTAATGGCCTATGCTTTGGTTTTTAGTTGGTTCAGCTTGCC